TTCCATATCTAATTGCACCTGAGAACATCAATAGATGCAAACTTAAGGTTCCCCGCAATGCTAGGATTTGTGCCTCACGTGTTGTCGAATATGTTCCCCAATACGATGAACAGCTTAGTCCGCGTAACTTTGTTCCAGCAGAAAGGTTAACCCCAGTTTCCACAGCTCTCCCAGCTGATCCTTTGCCGGATGAGGATTCTGGTTACTCACCTAGTTTTGCAGGCCAAGACGTCGCACGTCTTGACGAAGTTGCTGAGGCCGATGATCCACAAGATGCAGCTGCATCCAGCAGCCCACATGCAAGTGTACCGGAAGGTGCTGCTCCTAGCGCGCCACCGCACCCTTTAGATGATAAGTTGCTTGTTGAGTTAGGTGATGGTATCCCTATCAAAGATGAAGTCTTGAAAAAGGAAGCCACTAGCTTAGAGCATCTTTTGACTCACTACCCCAAAAATCCATATTGCCCATTATGCCATATTGCTAAGGATACTGCAATGCGGGTCTCTCATGTTAAGGATGGTAAGTCCGATGATAAGATTGATCCACCAAAACAACCTTTTGAGCAATTGGCCACTGATGATGTTATCCTTGCAAAAGGGTCTGAGCATTTTGGAACGGGGATAGGAGGGGTTAAAACACACCATGTGGTAAGGGACCTTTACTCTGGTGCACGAATAGCATATCCCCTTTCAAAATGAGATGTTGAATCCCATGCCAAAAATTTCCGACATTTCGTGGGATTGAAAGCCAATGAACTTGCCACCCACACACTTATCAAAATGGACGAAGCACAAGAATTGGAGCAGGCTGCCCATCAGGTCGGCTTCGTTCCTGAGACGTCCCTTCCCAATCGTTGGCCGCACAACGCTCTCCTAGAGCGCGACATCCGGGAAGAGAAAGAGTGTTGCAGGGTTGTTCACTTACAATCTGGTTTGCCTTATGAGTATCACACTTATAGTTACCCATACGCATGTCCTTCCATGACTTTTGATAGACCTTCTATTGCGGACCCTGAAAAGACCCAATGGGAAGCTCTTACACGTGAAAAGTTTGATGGTAAGCGTTTGTGTTTTGGTCAACTTGTGTATTATCGCAAGAAGCATCCAACAAAAAGGACCTTAGAACCCAATATGGCTCCTGGTTTGTTTCTTGGTTGGCGAATCGATTCTGGTTTTCGTTATAGATATGTTGTTCGGATATTAGATTATCAAGAGTTTCGAACTAGAGGTGCTTCATGTGTTTCCGATGTACCCGAGCCTGAACTATACCTTCCAGATGGTGATGCCTATTTTCCCGTCGGTTTTTCGAAGCATCAGGCCTTAATCAGGGGGGATGATCCCGATGATGTTAAACTTCCTGAAATAGCCCTGCAGAATGTTCCGTTTCCACCAGACGGCGGTTTAGCTTCTCCATCTACACCCGGTACCAAACCTAGATCGGTTTATATCACCTTAGACCGCATCATAAAGTTTAAGGAGACTCCCGGTTGTACAGGGTGCAAGAATAAGACTCGGTACCATAATGCAGAGTGCCGCAAACGGTTCCAGAAGCCAGTAGATGAAGAAAAGGAGCTGGAAGCCAAGTCAAAGCCCATATCAGAGTCGGTAGTTGTTGAACCTCCTAGCGAAGTTCCTAGTGCGCTTGAGGATGCCCCCGTGGAACCACCACTGGTGGACAGCGTATTTGATGATGAAGGTGAAATCACAATTGCTGTTCCTTATAGTGTCTCTGGTGCTGCCACCTTGCCCCAGACTGCTCCCAGCTGCGCTGAGTTATGTAGGGATTCCTTGCCAGTGTTCGGTGCACAGCCCGTGCCTGCATGCCCCGCAGTTAATCAGCCTCCTAAGAATAACAATAACCGTCGTAAACGACGTGCCTTGAAGAAAAGCCAGAGGCCCAGTGAGAGATCAACACTGTTTGAGTTTGCATGTTCCCTCAACTCACAGCTTGGGTTGACAAGCGAGCAATGTAACATAAATCACATTGGGTTATGCAAGGAAAGGATAGACTTAAGTGATGAGAATCAATGTTCCCAACTTGATTATCAAATAGGTGAAGCCGCAAAAGTTGCACCACCTAACCTTTGGTCGTCCATACCATGCACGTCTGGTTCACCTTGGCAGTATATCAATAGACGGAAGGGAGGAGCTGCTTATATGAAAAGATTAGCGCTCCAACTCCGAGAATCGAAACGACTTTTCAAAAGCTTTACCAAAAGGGCAGAATTAGTTTTGAAACTAGGAGGCACTGTTTCTTTTGAATGGCCACGTCCCTCAACTGGCTGGAAGAGACCAGATGTCGTAGCTTTCTTTAATTCTCACCCTGAGTTTATGGAAGTCGATTTCGATGGTTGTGCAGTAGGTCTTAAGTCCAAGAAAGGTGTTCCCATCAAAAAGCCTTGGAGAGTCCGAACCACTTCCCAAAGAATAGTAGATGTTTTTAAAGATAAAAAGTGCAGTTGTGAACAGCCACATGAAAAGTGTGAAGGTTCGGAAACGGCGCGATCAGCTATGTATCCCCCAGAGATGGCATTTTTGATTACCCAAGCGCTGTACCCTGCTAAGTGTTCTCAACAACATGCTCCCGCAATGCCATGCGCTCCACTTTCAACCGAACCCCAAGAGCACCGCGAAGTTGAACAACATCTTAAACATGTGTCCCCACTAGCTGGTTTTGAGGATCTTGCAGTTGCCATTGAAACAGATCCAACAGTGAACTGCTTAGTGTCGGAGCTTCTAGACCATGAGCGTTTGTTGTCACAAGCCTTCGGGCATGAAGATAACAATGAACCTTCCAAAGAGGTTCAAGCTATGGTAACTAAGCTGCTTTCCAGGGCCGAGATGTTATCCAACCCCCAAGCCCTTGATGCTGTTAAGGCCGAGGCCGATGGACTGATCAAGGCGGGAACGTGGTCACTTGATTCCGTTCGAGAAAAGGAAGATGTACGCGCCGAGGCCAAGCGCACAGGAGTGTCCGTTCATTTCGGGCAACTCATGACCATAGCGTCCATTAAATTCTTCGAGCTTGCGCAGCACCTGCAAAAGATGAAGGGCAGGATCGTCTACAGGGGCGACTGCGCGAAGGACGAACATGGCGCTGCAGCGGTCTACCAGGAGCTAGGGGCAAACCCGACTTCGGTCCAAGGTTTGAATGCTTGTTTAGCATACGGTTCCCTGCCAGGTAATAGCTCATCCGCAGCTGATGCTGTCAAGGCTTACGTTCAAGCACTCCTGTCTTCAAAATACAAGACCTGGATAGAACTCCCGCCCGAGCTAAGACCAAAACATTGGCGAGATAAGTTTGTTAAACCTGTAGTCCTCCTAGTTAAAGCATTATATGGTCATCCTGATGCCGGTGGCCTTTGGGAGCAGCACTTAAAGAAAATTATCCGCAACCTAGGTGGCCAAGAGGTACCCGAATACCCTGGTAACTTCTTTTTCCCAGATACTAAGTTGTTGCTTTCCACCTATGTAGATGATCTCACGCTTGCTGGTCCCACTGACCAACATGATGCCTTCTGGGCAAAGCTGACATCTGTTGTGGATATTGAACCACCTGAACCGATATACCGAATTTTAGGTCGCAATCATCTAGTAATGCCATTGCCCAAAACCGAGGGTTCCGAGGAATGTGCTGCGTTTCGCGCACAAGGAGCCTTAGTCTTTGACATGCTAGATTATGCACACCAAACAGTTGATCTTTATAAGTCCATCACCAACACCAAAAATTTGAAGCATGCTGCCACTCCTTTTGTACCTGATGGTTCTGTCTCCGTTGAAGATGAAGAGGCCAAAGGCGAACTGGCACCCAATGCATGCCGCATTCTTATGAAGGCGTTGTGGCTTGGTCGGCTGTCCAGACCTGACATAATAAAACCCATCAACGATTTAGCCACTAAAGTGCAGTCTTGGTCCAGGGGGGACGATAAGAGGTTGTTAAGACTCATAGAATATATAGACTCTACACCCCAATACCGTCTAGTGGGTACCATCAAAGATAATCCCGAAGATCTTGAGTTACGTTTATACGTTGACGCCGATTTCGCCGGTGATCGTCTTAGTGGAAAGTCCACGTCCGGTGGGTATTTAGTTCTATATGGGCCTAACTCCTTCTTCCCTCTTGCGTGGGTTAGCAAACGCCAAACATCCACATCCCGTTCTACAACAGAATCTGAAGTGGTTTCATTGGCTTATTCCCTTTACCAAGAAGGCCTGCCGGCCCTGCAACTCTGGGAGCTTCTCCTAGGGCGCACCGTGACGCTTAGAGTTTTAGAAGATAACCAAGCTACCATCCTGGTAGTGCGTAAAGGTTATTCCCCTAAACTTAGGCACATCACACGCACCCATAAAGTGAACTTGTCTGGCCTCTCCGAAGTCTTCCGTGAGGATTCAGCTGAACTCGAATACTGTCAGACCGACAGTCAGGCCGCCGACATTTTCACAAAGGCGTTGCCACCCCAAAAGTGGGCCCCGGCACTGCGCTTATTAGGCATAAGAGTAGATTTAGGTAGTGAACTCAAAGCCAGGGAAGGGGCTGCTACCTAGCGCCCTAACCTGTATACTAGTTGACAGCGTTAGATAGGGTAGGGGGGAGTAGAAATATTACGACCCCTATACCACCACTGTATATACTAGTAGTAGTCCACTGCCTACCGTAGCTATGACACCAATTAACATTCCTGTAGTATTGTACAGTTATGTATGACATGCCATAATATATGGCTCAAGTGCCGAGCATAAAAGTAGGTACTTGCGATCTATGGGACAAGGGAGTTTAAACTGTTGTTGGTTGTTTCCCCCTTGTTTCTCTATATTATATTATATTATATATATCATGTTATATAATTATATAATATTATATACTATTTATACTATACATATTATATACATATATGTTATAGAGTATAATACAGTGTATATACAGTACACATATTGTTTCTGATCCTGACTGATTTTGATAATCATCGCCACGAGAAAACAAAAAACCCATTCCTGGTCCAGGAGTCAAGCCCCTGCTGCATCGATCCATGAACAAGATCATGAAGGCACCAGGAACCATGGTGATTTAATGGTGATTTAATCCATATACAATATAACACACAAACCCTTTGGTAAACTAACATAGCTATGGAAAATGGCCCATTAATGGATGCTTTAGCCATTATTCTAATAAGAAATTCCCCATATGCCAAAGCCAAACACATTCCAGGCCAAAAAGAATGAAAAACGTTGATGATTACATTGACCGGGCTGGAGATGTATGTATATACAAACCCTCTGGTAAACTAACATAGCTAAGGCAGCTAAGGAAAATGGCCCATTAATGGATGCTTTAGCCATTATAAATGGTGATTTTCAATAGTTATGTTAATTTTCCAGAGGGTATATGAGATATATAGGGAAGATATAGGGAAGATATATGGGAAACATATGGTAATGGTGATTCAATGGTGATTTAAAGAGGTGATTTCAAGCATCAGACATCAAGAAAGATGGTGGTATCATGGGGATCTTAATTTACCATATAACATTTTTTTCCATAACCAGAGCGGACATCAATCGGTGAATCAGGGTTGACCGGTGAATGATAGATGAAAGGCCTTGGTGAAGGGGGTCATCCAGCTACATGTAAGAAATACGTAAAGAAAACAAATGACATTCACCTACCATTTCCGCTTGGCAAGTGCCCAATTTTGGTAGAGATGATGAGTTGCTGATGGTGGACATTATTGAGCAATGCTTGATTCACAGGGATAAATGGATCACTATACCATCTTCATAGATGATCGAAGTGAATCTTCTGTAGTGCATCTAGCTTGTGTTACTGCTATGCTACTAGATTTGGAGCATCCCACAGCCCACTTGCGACTCTCCAAACTCACTTCATGGTGAAATCCCATGAGTTTGATCATGATGTTCCCCTCCAACAACCCCCAGAACCGAACGATTTGTCTGAGAATGATCTACCAAGGTTAGCCCGGTACCCTAATGAATTGACCCTTGACGCATAACCCGTATCATTGTCTTCCAGATGACTTTTTTGCGACTTAATCCCCAGTCTTTTATGTTGGTTCAATCTCCCTTTTGGTTGGTTTTACCCTCCAACTAGACCCTGCCATGAGGCGACTTGACCATCAAATTCCAAGAGATGAGCCGTTCAATTCCCATGAAATTTCCATAAATCTCTTAACAAAGATGCGCCGCAGGCCAATCCCGCATTGTACGTGCTGCGGGAGCGCATCCGCAAGGGTCTTCAGCTCTACAGCAGTGAGCCCACAGAGCCACTCGGCTAGCCACATAGCTGTTGGAATGATTTGACAACCATTTTATAGCTAAACATTATGCATTTACTTAGCTATTTATGGATTTATGGTTGTTGTTCCATGAATTACCTTCGTGTTTGATTATTTTAGACACCATCATGAATCCTCGAACCGACTGGACCATTTCCATACCAACGAGTTAAATAACCAGATGGTATAGAATCCAATCTATTGGGGAATATTGGGGATTATGTGGCTTTAATCGACTATGGGATTGCCCCTTTTTCCCAAGCAGTGGAATGGAATGACAGAGGGGTTTGACCACCAAGAATATGGTAAACCAGGTACAGAAGGACTTGTCTACCGGTTAAATTTATGGCATTTTAATATAATATTTTAATAGGCAATATAATATTTGGTTGGTGGTTTGGAACATGACTTTTATTTTTCATTATTTTTCCATATGGGAATGTCATCATCCCAACTGACTTTCACTCCATAATTTTTCAGAGGTTGAAACCACCAACCAGTGATGATTAACCATCATTAACCATCATTAATCACTATTAATCACCATTAACCACCATTAACCACCAGTAATTTATTAACCACCAGATACATGTCCATAGATTATCCATAGATGATGAATCGCTGGATTTTGGGGTACGCTGTTTTCAGACCCATGGGTTTTCCATGGGTTTTCCTATTTGATTCCCATCAAGAAATCACACATTTCCTACCAACGAGGAATCCTGAAAAGATCGAGCACTTAAAGAGTGGCATTTATGGATAGGGGGAAGGGATGGTATTCGAAAACAAGATTAGCATTCTTAGAGCCAGTTAATATATGTGTTGAAAAACTGTTTGGCTCTAAACAAGCCATTTGATGGATGGCATATGCTGCATGGAGCCGGCTTTTTTTCCATGGCATTAACCCCCTAAACCCCTACCAGGATTGAAGATTTACACAGGTTTTAGCCCGGCTAACCATCCAGAACCAGCCCACTGAGTCCTATGACATCTCCAGGCCATATCTGAATTCCCAGAACTACGGAGAGCTCTTCAGTTCGCAGATCATTTGGTTCGTGGATGACACCAACGTGTCCCTTGGCAATGTGCAAAACCCTGGTGGCCCTGGTGGCTTGTAAGGCAAGGTTTTCGAGAGGTAGAAAGCGGCAAACAGAAATGGGAATGGTATCATACATGTTAAAAACCAATACCCTCTCTGGTAAACGATTACATAACTATGGAAAATCACCATGTTTAATGGGAAAATTCACTATTTCTATGGCCATTTTCCATAGCTATTTTGACATAACCAGAGGGTATATATATATGTATATATATATATTTCCATATATTGGGAATGTCATCATCCCAACTGACTTTCATATTTTTCAGAGGGGTAGGTATACCACCAACCAGTTGTACAATGTTCAAATGGTGTTGATGGTTACCATCGGATTCCACACCTGAATTCAGCCGGCCCTGGAGCAAGCCGGCGATGGCGATGCGCAGCTACCGTTTGAATCATTTTGAAGCCACAGGAAACTGATGGAAACTGATTTACCCCAGAATTTAGTAAGATTAATGAAAGGTTGATACAGATTGGAACAAATCGGAATATCAATAACTATAGTAGAAACGTATATAAAAAGTGCTTCAACTCTCTGTGGTTCTGAAGTTCCACTCCACCTGTGTCGTTCACGTCCCTTGTCCCTTGACAGGTATCGCGTCACGATCCACAAGACCTTTGAGGGTAACTTGACCACCAAGCCAGTGAACGGCGCCATCTTCATCTTCAACCCGCGCACAGGACCGGAGATGACCGGAGGGATACCTTGCACAAAGATGCACAAAGCTGACGTGACGTGACTTCCCTCATTCCCAGATATTCCGTACATCTACGACTTATGAACATATATATGAATACACCAAGTTTACTTTAGCTTCTCCGAGTTCGACTATGAACCAACATCCAATCATCCAGTAGGTCTTCCACCTTCAGTAGGTCTTGCAGGTCTTCCTGGTCCTTTGGTGCCGTAGGACAGCTGTTCCTGAAGATCATTCACACCTCGGTGTGGGCGGGTCAGAAGCGCTTGTCACAGCTGGCCAAGTGGAAAACCGCCGAGGAGGCCCTTTGAAACTGGCGCAGTGGAGCTTTGACATTGGAAATGCATAGGAAAAACATGGGAAAACCATAGGAAAATCATAGGAACATGGGAAAACTATGGGGAAATTCAAGTGAAAAAGATGGCTAATTTGTTGATTTTCCATCACCAATCCATTGAAATTGACAGACATGGGGATTTAACATGATTTAGCTGGTGATATATGGTGATCTATGCACACATCATGTGCATATCATATGAACATATTGGGAGTAGATAGCTATAGATCTTCAAACATAATATATATATATATAATAATAATAATAATATATATATATATTATGTATATATATATATTGCCTATATTTATTCCCATCATTTCATGGGGGATATGTCATGATATTTCCATATTTTGTTTGCGATTTGAAGGTCTCCACCTTCGGCAGGTGGCGGCCTTGATTCGATCCTTGCCGGTGGAAGAGCAGCCCAAGCAGATCATCGTGACGCGAAAGGGCATGTTGGACCCCTTGGAGGCAAGGTTTTCATGGTTTTTCTGGAGTGGATAATGAAAAATGGTGATGAAAAATGGGAAGATATATGGGAAACATATGGCAATGGTGATGAAAAATGGTGATGAAAAATGCTGATAAAATAAATGGTGATTTATATAGTATTATAGTGGGCTTTTTTTGGGATTCAATGGGATCTTGAAGTGATTCGTTGGGAGTTTACGAACAAACAACTTATGGATTTCACCAAAGCTGGTGACTTCACCAGGATAGCCGGAGAGCCGTGTAGATCCGTGCAAGATGGGCCGTGTAGATCGATGGAGATATACTGGAGATGAATTTGGAGAATTCTACCACCGGTATCATGGTGATTTAATGGTGATCTAATGGTGATTTAATGGGATTTGATGGTGATGAATCGGATTTTCCCTCCAGTAAACTAAATTTTAGCTATGGACAATCAGCATTTCTAACAGGCAAATCATCGAACTACTGTAAATGACCATTTTTTGAATAAATACCCTCTGGTTATTTAACATAGCCATAGAAAACCCCTTATAAATGGAGGTTTCTAGCTGGGAAAATCATCTATTTCTATGGGCCATTTTCCATGGCTATGTTAAATAACCAGAGGGTAGCTATGTTAGTTTGCTGGAGGGTAAGATGATGGGAATATGAATCATCAACCCGATCCAGATAAATATGATAAATTTCATGAGGACCTCACGTTGCGATGTCACTGGAACGATGGCAATTGGTTTGGGATAAGTATCCCAACATGGCCTTACTCTTGAGGTTGGTCAAGATGCCCATGGCTTTTCTTGGGGTTTTGGAACCAAGTAGGTGGTTAAAGACACGATTTAGCTGAGATCGTTCGGTAAAACTAAACACAAAGATGTTGGTAGTTGGTACTTACTTGGTTTCGAAGAGGAGTCAAGATTCAAGATGGTTTAAACCCCAGTTGGAGACATGGATTGTGTCAGCAATGAATTGTAGCTTGGTACGACATTTCGGAGCGCTTCGCCAGGTGCATTTGTTGGATTTCCCCAACATCGTCATCAAGGGCTCCGAGTTGTCTCTGCCATTCCAGGCGCCATTCCGAGATCAACAAAACATCCAGGGCTGAGTGGCTGGAAGGGATGAAGATCCATCAATTCTCGGATGGGAATTGGATTGGGCTACCCTGTGGTAAACATTTACATAACTATGGAAAATCCACAATTTTTCATGGGGAAATCCACTATTTCTATGGCCATTTTCAATAGCTATGTGAATGTTGACCAGAGGCCAACCATCTCAATGTCTGGCCGAACTTTTCAGTGAAAATCTGTAATCTACCCAGATAGTTTTGGGGATGAACATCCATATCCCGTTGAACTTGTGGTATTTCATCGTTTGGGGTCACGCAAATCCCACGTTTTGGTGGTTCCGGGGCGAAAAAATGTGACCATTTTCAGCCGCAGGCCTGCATGAAGATCGAGAAATTTGGCGTCCTTGGGCTGAAATTTGGACAGTAGCACAATCGCCAATAACCATCCAGTATTTCAATGTGTTTAGATGTATCAAAATTTAGATGTATTTACTAGTAGATGATTTTAGGTGCTTTTAGATGTACTTAGATGTACTTAGATAATCTCAGATATATACTTAGATGTAGTCTAGGGCATTTTCACTAATATGGTGTTCACCAAGTTTTTTCCAGATGTGTTTGACATTGTTTGGTTGGTGGTTTGGAACATTTGTTATTTGTCCCATCATATTGGGAATGTCATCATCCCAACTGACGAACTCCATCATTTTTCAGAGGGGTAGGCTCAACCACCAACCAGTTTCCATTTACAAACATAGCTATTTATAGTTGATTTACCCATTAAAAATGGTGATTTTCCATAGAAAACCAATAGAAATCTATGCATTGGATTGGTTCAATGGTGCTCAACTGAGGATCTTATCTTGAAGGCGACCCAGCCTGAAATGGTGCTCTTCAACCTCTACGACGATTGGCTGAAGTCGATCTCCTCCTATACCGCCTTCAGCAGCTTGCTTCCGGTGGAGGACTTAAGGAATTGATATAGGTAGAACTTTGGCATATATATATATATTATATATATACATTGCCAATCTTAGATACCCTGCAAAAAAAGTAATTCTACTTAGTAGGATTTCAAATTACCTAAGCCATAAAGTCCTAGATCATTTACTCAATGGGAATTCCAGGATCCTAAAATGGAGGTACTGTACCATATAAGGCCATATTTTGGGGGTATATCCCCTTGCATAGGCCTTACATAGGCCTTATATATGGTAGGTACCTCCAATTTAGGTTCCTGAAATGGCCATTGATATACGTACATATAATTATATGTATTTCAATTTTTGATCAGTCATATGGTTAGAGCCGAAGCAGTCAACTACAACATAGACAGATTTTTTTTCCATGTTTTGAATGGTGAATACTGATTGCTTCAACCATGCCTAGAGTTGGAATGAGCAACATTGAATCAGAACATTTCTGGGTAAGCCATGACATGTTTCGACACATTTGGAGAAGATGAGTTTGAGCTCACCGTCAACTCGGTGAACCACGCGCAAAATTCAGCTCAAGTACTTTTCAGCGCAATGGAAGACAGTTTCGAGTTTCGAAGCCCCAATACTTCAACAATATCTAACTCACACACATATTTCATCATATCTGGGGAGAAATACTGGATATTTCATCATAGTTTTCTGGATATCTAACCCCCAATACTACGGATTTCCGAAGCTGACCAGAAAACCCTTCTGGTCGACTCTGAGGTCGAATGATCCTGATCCTCCGTGCGTTGCATGTGAACCCGGACCGGACCAAGGTGATCCTGAAGCCGGATAAGACCACGGCCACTGGGACGCCAGTTTTTGGAGCGGAAGAATATGGTGTTTTTAATCGTTAGTTCAAAAGCACTATGAAAAGATAGGTGGAGTTAACAAAAAAGAACAACTATGAAAACATGTGTGGAGTTAACAGAAAAGAACAACTATGAAAACATGTGTGGAGTTAACAGAAAAGAACAACTATGAAAACATATGTGGAGTTAACAAAAAAAGAGCAACTATGAAAGAACAACTATGAAAAAAATGGTGGAGTTAAGACTACATTGGATTATTTGGATGGTTGATGGTTTTATATGAAAAACAGTTGGAGTTAACACCATGGAAAAACCTGGTGATTTGATCTTCCAGGACACCCCAAGATTTGGGGTGAAAACTATGGTAGATTTTCGGTTACGCCAATCCAATGACAATATCATCAGCATGAGCTCAACATCAACAACACGAAAAAGTCACCCATGCCGAAGAAACACCACACCGTTGATCTGAATGACATGGCTGTGAGTCAAAACCCTGGTACCCTAGGTAGCCTAAGGGACTAAGTTATTGCTGGTTAACAGACGGTTATTCCATGTTATTCCCAAATATGGTGTCATTCCTTAGGCAACTTGACCCATCACATCATCATGTTCCATAGCTTAGTGTCGCTTCACCGATGTCTCCACTTGGTGCTGGGGTCAACGGTAAACCATGGTTTTCACCCCTAAAGTTGGGAAAAAAGGGGCCCCTAGAAGTACACTCCAAGTAGGCTTTCCAACTGGGAGGATTTAGATAAGAGATTGGATGGAAAAGCCATGTGGAACACCCAGCATGTCCAAATCATCCAAAGATTTCCCCATTGCATTGAATCGCCTGGATTCCCATGATGATATCGTCATGACATCCCATGGATTCGCATGGGTTTTGTCATGTTCCCAGGTCTTCCCATCATGTGATTTTTGAACCCCCGGGGCCCCATATCATTAACAAACCATTCGTATCTGATTTACGTTTACAGATGCTTTCCCATTCTTAACCATGATTTGCCAGAAAAACCCAGGGTACATGATTGGAAGTTAGCCTCCAGTAAACTAACATGGGCTTGGAAACCCTACCATTTGAATCCATTTGATACCATTTGTAGGTAATTTTCCTAAGGGAAACATTGGTTTTCCTCATCTACGTTACCTTACCCCAGGATAGATATCATTAAGAAATCCATTCATATCACGAATATCCCATTTCTAGATGATTTTTCCCTTACTCAACATTACTAACCACTATATCATGGTTGATATCTAGAGATTCCATAAATTTTCCATTCACCATTACTACCCTCTGGTAATTTAACATAGCTATTGAAAATGGCCATAGAAATAGTGGATTTTCCCATTAAAAATGGTGATTTTCAATAGCTATGTTAAATTACCAGAGGGTAACCATGACCTCCAGGCAGGCTTTCCCTAGGTTCCCAGAACGCCCGCCATTCCCCCAGGTGACGCAGCCGCACCACGTCTGGCCCAGCCTGACGGATGATGAGTGGATCCACGTGGAGGTGCAGCTGAAGGATCTGATCCTGGCAGACTACGGTGCCACGGCGCTCCGAGCCATGGGGAATTTTCAGATTGCCATAGGCTTTTCGCTGGAAGGTAGTGATGTAGCTCTGGTAAAGAAAAATAGCTAGCTATGGAAAATCATGATCTTTGATAAATCATGGTAAATTGACTAGACATGAGCCATTTTCAATAGCTATGTTGAATTATCCAGAGGGTAATGGTGAATGGAATGGTGAATGACATGAACTTATGGTGAATGGAATGGTGAATGAAATGAAGCTGTGGTGAATGTGAATGGTGAATGTGAATGTGGAATGGTGATAGTATGTGATATATGTTTTTTTTCATGAAATGTAGATAGATGTTAACACTGGTATACTGGGATGCCCTCTGGTGATTGACGTAGAAAACTGGCAAAACTCACCAATTCGACTGGCAAAATCCATCGATTTTGGGCCATGACTTCCATAGCTGGGAAATCCCCCCCTAGAAATGGAGGGATTTTTCAGCTAGCCACGTTTGATTCGTGGAAGGTAACTGATGATTTATAGAACATGATTTAAGTGGACATGTCATGGGAATATCATGGATACTGATGATACTTTTTTTTTGCCAACAATATTGTGATCAATGGCGTTGTGAAGATATTGGCTGCTGGTTTGAGACATGGTTGATTTTCCAGCTTAGAAGTGGGATCATGATCTTGAATCACGAGCATATTTTTCATGGTTTTTTCACCGCCAACCAGAAATTTGTCAAAACTACCGCCCCGCACCAAAAAATCCGTGAACCCTTGGGTGGTTCATTCATCTGGGCTTGACTTTAAACCGAGCAACCGTGGTACCCCCTTGGGGGATCACGCCAGGATACCCGGGGGGACGGTCGCCTTTAGGCAAGAAGAACAACGTGAACGTGGCGTCCCTGACGCAGAGTGAGATTCGCGACATCATCCTGGGAATGGAGATTGCACCACCCTCCATTCAACGATCCTTGGCGAAAGACAGTGAAAGATTCCGTACCCTGATGAATTGTGGTGGTTCCCCCAAATAGTAATAAATGGCTACTGAAATGGTACCCCCCCCAATTAAACAGCCTAGGGTTTATTAATCCGGGGTTGACATTAGTGAACTTGTCTGGCGTGAAAAATGCTATGTTCATCTATGTTCTATTTTAAAATTCCCCTCATTTTGGACCTGGAGTTGCCATAAGTTGATTTTTGCAGGGCTCGTCTTTGAACCTTCGAAGCTGGAAGTTCCGCAGCCCGAGGTCAGCAGATTGCCGACTTGGAAAAGCAGGGCAAGGCCGGGAAGATGGATCAATGGATTGGTTTAAGGGAAAATTTACAGGAAAACCCTCTAATTTTAATGATAAAATCTGGGATTTTCTGGGAAACTGCATGAATCACCGGCCAATTGATATTTTTGGACCTGAAAACAGATTCATTTCGAGAAGGAAAAGAACATCTTGGCATTTCTTGAACCCCAAAATTGTCTCAAAAATTCGCATCAAGCCTCAATTTTTTGCGGTGCATGGTGCAAATAAATCTAGAATCGACAATGCTCACATCCCAGCTGATAGCTTTGCTCGCTTCGACAAGTGTTTGTCCGAACATGTTGGAACATGTCTGACACAACTCCAATGATTCATCATCGTTTTTCCCAATTCGGAATACCCAGAAAAAACCGTATTAAACCTCATTATACAATTATAATTTACGTATAATGTAGCAATAACACCAATAATACTATTCTTAAGATTTCTTAAGCCATTTAAACCCCATTCATGATAACCCCATTATACAATGATAATATACGTATAATTTAGTAATAACACCAATACTAATATATTACTTAAGCCATTTAACCCCCATTCATGATATATACCATTAATTATATGCAATAACAGTAACCATTAAGCCGCCCCATGAACGGTGCCATCATGTCTCGGTGCGCTAGGAGATGTCACAGATCACCACGATCACCTCGAAGACCACCAACGTCCATGGTGAAGAGATGATCGTCACCACAGGTGGGGACGTTACGGGGGGATGGCGAAGCGGATGGCACATGGATACAACACGTTTATATGGCAGGGGAACCCCCATAGTCATGGGGATACCCAATTAATATCCAATAGTCAATAGCTGGATGGTTGAAAAAAGGGGGAAAAATCCATCTTTTTGAATGGATGATGATAATAGGGTAGCCCATGGTAGCCCTATGTTAGGAAACCCTCACATATCTTCAGGTGCTCTTTCTGTGGTTTCTGATACGTTCAATAGTTTTTTCCCCACCTGCCAGGTGAGGGTTGTTAGATTTTATGTCAGTTGCCTCCTCCTCCTTCTCCTCCTCCTCCTCCTTCTCCTCCTCCTCCGCCTCCTCCTGCCTCGTCCTCCTCTCCTCCTCCTCCTCGTCCTCCTCGTCGTCCTCGTCGTCCTCATCGTCCTCGTCGTCCTTGCTCAACTGCGACCCGCGATCCACAGTGTTCTCTGCCGGACCTCAACCACGACCATCCACGCCCAGTGTTCCCTGCCGGACCTCAACCACGACCATCCACGCCCAGTGTTCCCTGCCGGACCTCAACCACGACCATACACGCCCAGTGTTCCCTGCCGGACCTCAACCACGACCATCCGCGCCCAGTGTTCCCTGCCGGACCTCAACCACGACCATCCGCGCCCAGTGTTCCCTGCTGGACCTCAACCGCGAGTATCCACGCCAAGTGTTCCCTGCCGGACCTCATGTAGGAAGATATGGGACAAAGAATGTGCAGAAGAAAGTTAGAAAGAATGTCAGAAAGAATGTCAAAGATATGCCAGAAGATATGCCAGAAGATATGCCAGATAGAATGCCAGATAATATGCCAGAAGATATGCCAGATAGAATGCCAGATGGAATGCCAGAAGATTTGCCAGATAGAATGCCAGAAAATATGCCAGAAGATATGCCAGATAGATATGTCAGAAGATATGCCAGAAGATATGCCAGAAGATATGTCAGAATATATGCCAGAAGATATGCCAGATAGAATGCCAGAAGATATGTCAGAATATATGCCAGAAGATATGTCAGATAGAATGCCAGATAGAATGCCAGAAGATATGTCAGATAGAATGCCAGAAGATCTGCCAGATAGAATGCCAGAAGATTTGCCAGATAGAATGCCAGAAGATATGCCAGAAGATATGCCAGATCATATGCCAGAAGATATGCCAGAAGATATGCCAGATAGAATGTCAAATAGAATGTCAGAAGATATGTCAGATAGAATGCCAGAAGATTTGCCAGTAAGAAAATGTATAAATGTCATGGTGGGGATCACGCGAAGTAAAGTAATTTTAAATGTTCCAGCCCCAACCATAGGATGATCCTCCTAAACTTGACGAGCAGATTTTTGGGGTTGGAACCATGAACCAGCTTGTTTCTTTTGAATTTCTGGATGAATCAACACCATGGCTTAGGCTCTGGAGTCGGAGAATGCGACCAAATTTTCTTGGGTGAAAAGCCATGGGAAAAGTGAGGAAAAACATCTGACAACTGGTGGATCACTTATATATTTGTGTGTAACATCCCCCCGAAATGTTATGTGATGGTTAAGGGAACAGGGAAACGCATGTTTTTTTTGAGGCAAACAGCATGGCCAAGTTTGGTTGGCAATGTCAACTTTGGATTTGCAACACCCTGGGCTGTTGAATTGGGGTTGAACCTCAAACAGCCAGAAATAACTCAAATGGTTTCCGGTAGAATTCCTATCCAAATGCATCCAAATGGTTGTCTTGGAGAAGCCACCATGGCTCTAGTATGCTCTAGTTGTTTGGGGATGTTTGGGGTTCCAGGTTGACAACTTTTTCCAGAAATTTTTCACGGTTGAAGTCCGTAAAAGCCCTTTTTGTGATCTGAATTGCCACAGAATTCTCCCTATCACCATATTTGTCCACTAAATCCCCCAAAAATCCAAAAAAAAACAGAGACTTACCCTCTGGTAAATAAACATAGACCCTGAAAATAACCAATTTTTAATGGACGCTAATCTTCCAACCCCTATCTGGCAGGGTCTATGTTAATTTACTAGAGGGTATCACCGGTCAACGTTCGGGTGCCAGGCTCGCCCTACGAACAGCAGACCTTTGCCTCGCGCACGGAGTGGCGAGTGCGGGCCATCAGCGCGTCGTCGCTGCACCTGCGAACCAATCACCTGCTCCTTGGCAGCGGGCTTTGTCGCTGAGGAATTCAACATGATTCACGCAGTATGGTGATCATAGTGATCATAGTGGGGATGTCATGAGCAGTTTAAAGCAAAACCCCGCTGGTGGTTTGGGAGGTTACTCCCAGGGTGACTCGCCGGAAGGTGCCCTGGAGTCGGTTCATGGCTTTATGCTGACATGGTTTGATGAGAGATAAACTGGCATGAATTGACAGGGTTTCTTATCCAAGGACCTCTTTGGGGGTGGAGATGTCAGGTCTAGTAGATGACATTCTTGGTCGCTCCTGTGCAGCTTGGGAAACCAAGGTATGTGAACAGTGAGGACATTCGGGAGACGGGCTACACGTACGTCATGCCCAAGAACATCCTGAAGACCTTCATTTGCATCAGTGTGGCTTGGCTCCGAAGCAGGAATTTTTGATCATCATGTTGCCATGGATGCAAGCACAGTCAGAATCATCTTTGTTCATTCCATCATACAGTGGAAGCAACACCTTGACATGAAGTGGAGCAATTGGAGACCATTATATTAACAATCAATACAATTATTATATAACAGATAACATATGATAACATATTATTAAAATGAATATCTTCGTAGCATCGTATTTCTAGTGCAGATCTATCTTTTTATTGGGGCATGGACACAATTTGTGTCGATCAATCCATAGACCCAAGGATTTGCGCACGCAGATTGCAGCCTACCTCTATGGTATTTCGCCACCGGACAACCCTCAGGTGAAGGAGATTCGGTGCCCCACCGTTCAGCGCTTTACCACCGGTAATTTGGGTGGTAAATTTGGGTGGGTAAATTTTTGGGGCCCCAAAAAATGGATGTCTGGAGAAAGTCGAAATGTTGCGTGGGTCTTTGTCCGTGGGTGTTTTTCGAGTCGCGGAGTATTGGATGTACCTGGCGCCTCAGGTGCATGGTGATGGTACCACAGGTGGGTACACACAGCAGCTCGGTGGATGTGGGTTACATGGCCCGGTCAACGTTGAGCCTCCATCGCAGCATCGGTTGTCTCATCAACAGCAGCTTTTTTTTGGGCATGGATTGAAACTGGAGCCAACCAATGGATTGCCTGCCTGGTTGGTGGTTTGGAAAATGGCTTTCATTTTTCCCATCATATTGAGAATGTCATCATCCCAACTGACGAACTCATATTTTTCAGAGGGGTAGGCTCAACCACCAACCAGCTGCACTATCTGATTGCTTGTTTCACTCAACCATACTTGGGACAATCCGCCAGAACCAGCATGGGATGGAGGTGCGGGCAAGCAGCTGGGTGTGTCTTAAAATTTAGGTACCCAGGTACCCTCCTAAAACAATCCAATGGTTGAAATCTGTCATTTCCCGTATATGTTTAATGGCCACAAGTGGGGGTATACTAGCCATTTCCAGACACTCAAATTGGATCTGGCAATATAATGTAATATATATATACACATATAACATCCACATATCCCCAGTACATTACCCATTAAAGCTTATTGTATCCCCATTAAATCACACCAAACAACCAAAGTTCACTCCCAAGCTTGGTCATTTTGCTCCATTTTTCCATCCATTTTTCCTGGTTCAAGATGGTGAGATCCATAAAATCACCCGTAAATCCCCAATTTTGGTGGATTAACTAAGGCTTATGGTAGATATAACGAACTAGTTCATGGGTTTATAAACCAACTTCTTTTCAGTAGGGGGCACCATCCTGAACTATGAAGCCTCATGAAATCACCATGAGCTCCAGAGAACTCAGGCAATGTGACGCTGCCCCAGCAGCTCCCAGATCATGACCACTTGAGGGACTTGGAACCTCTCGGCTGGATCCACACGTCGCCTGGTCGACTTTAGGAGCCTCTGGTAATTTGTTCATGGGATTTTTGATGGGGAAGTCCTATATCAAATGCGGGATTTCATTGGATTTCATGGACATAATTTGTTGCATAGCTGTGGAAAATTGATGAACACGGTGATTTAGCTGCTATTTTTTGCGGTGATGTTCAATATGTTGAAGTACCAGAGGGTATTTACTAAGCAGCGGTTGATGTTTTTTTCAGAACGGCCCCTCATGCGGGAGTGATTTTTGCTCTAAAAATTGTCAAAAATACTGGTATTTAGATATTCTCCCAGAGGGGGACGGTCATCCGCGCATTGATAGGGGTTGATATACACACAAGGAGTCCCATTCATGATGGTGAAGTGAACATAGCCATCCATAGCCCCTACGTATACCATGTTTTGACCATGGCCCACAACGTGAAACATCTAGTTTATACATTATGCATTTACATATTCAATCTATCGTTAATAGGTATCGCATTTGTGAAATGCCACGTGTGCATGTCACAGGGGCTCGCAGAAACACAAAGATCATGCAACAACTTAAATGATAACAACCATTTGATCATGGTTATGGTTATATGTTATATATATATACATATCCCCTGATATTCTCATCATATCCCAACTCCATTCCCATAATATCACCAGTTAAATCCCACGTTTTTTTCAGCATTGAAATCCACAAGAATCGATGCTTAAGCTTCGCCAACTGAGGCAACCCCAGGAGCAACCACATCTGAGTCCTCAGGCACAAGGGCATGTTGTTTTTTTCTTTGTAACGGAGTAAATGGATTTGTGGAAAACAACTTGTTGGATATGTATGAACTTTTTTGACTTGATACTTATATACTTCTAGTGTTTTTCATGTTTTATCTTGGAACACAACTTCTTACTTGATCACATTTGTCGAACAATATGATCACATGGCTGTGAACCTGAAAATGGGGTATACCGCAAATTACTAAATTGGATATGGCTAGATGGGGAAAATGATGATGATCCATTAAGTGCCCCAACATTTGAGACAAACCCATGTACCTATTTCACATGTCCTATAATCTCCTTTACGTGTCAATGTATTTCCATCGATGCCTTAAGGGAAATTTTGCATGACACCCCAATATTTGATGGGAAAAACATGGTTTCCGGTGAAGATTTCCTCTGAAACCAATTTATTGAACCAGGATTTTCCAACTATTTTTCCCGTATGAAATCCATTAAAATCCCATTTTTCATGATTAAATCAAATCCCATGTTTGAAGCCCTTAAGTCAGGCCCATCACATCCTCATCATCTCATCATCACCATGGCGTTTTTTTTTTTCGGTTTCCACCCTGGTTCCAACGATCCCAGTGCGTTTCCAGAGCGCAGGACGTGACGTTCCACGCGAGGATGTTGGCGGATAACAAGACCTGGCTTGCAGATCAGACCATCATCATCACCTGCAGCTTCACACCAGGCGGGAACAGATTGAACAGATCAGCTGAATTGTCGTTTTAAGTTGTTGTTTTCGGAGAAGAAGATATATTTTGGGAATGATGAGACTGGGATAAAGTTGGAATGATACAAATATATCTCTGGGAGATATGGGATAATTCTTATCATCTTATCATCCGGTTACTCCCCAATTCTGTTGGTTAATCCCCAATGATAAGATGATCATTCTCCATTTAACCATCATCTTACCGTGGGGATTCACCAACAGAAAACTGGACTCCGACACGTGACGTAGCTGGGATTTTCCCATATAAGATGGCCACAAAAATCTTGGGAGTATACTCCATTTTCAGATACACCATGATACACCCATTGTGATTATTGGTGGTTGCCCTCTGGTAAACAGCCACATAACTATGGAAAATCACCATGCTATCAATGGGTAAATCCACTATAAATCACCATTTTCAATAGCTATGTAACAGTCATTACCAGAGGGTATATATTTATCATTACATATCAGAAAATGATATATATTCCCATGAAATCATTTTTTGATCACAACACTGGACATCTGACTATTACCCATATGCTCCATGTTGCTGGAATATTTACCAACATTTGCCCTAAAAATCACCCAAATGTAGTTAAATATACCATACATGGAGCATTTGGGTTATTGGTTATATATATATAGTATATATATTATATATATACATCACGGTTTTCCCACACATCATCAGTTGAATCCCAAATTTTGGAGTCCGAATTTTGTTCTTCAGAGTTGAACCCCCCAGTTTTCAGACCCACTTAGCGCATATGTTGCTGATACAACCCCACTAGATATCCATTCAATGCCTATTAAACCCCTAGATATCTACAGACTATACATCTACAGACTATGTATCTACAGACTATATATATCTACAAACTATATATATATATACATATATATATATATATGCTATATATATATATATTATATTATACATATCATATCCCCCTTACATCAGAACATCAGATAAATGGAATGCTCATTGTGGTCATGCCGTTTTTTGCCAGCAGCGGCTCTCGGTTGAGGCAGCTGCTCCCTGACGGCCTATCGTATCACGCCCCAGGGATTCCAATGGGGAAAGTCCAACAAGGACGGCGTGGCAGCGCTCGGATCTGATTTCGCTGGGGTCACTGTGGATGATTGAAATGAGTTGAGGGGGGCTGCCTGGGTTCGTTTCAGAGGCTGCCCTTGGGTTCAGTGAAAATCACCAACTAAAAACAAAGGAAATCAATAGAATAGTAGAAAGTCACTAATTATTCTAGGAATTCACTACTATGTTGTGATCATTTTTATAGGATCTTAGAAAAACCACATTGTTCAGGGTGGAAATCACTTACAATGGAACCCACAAACAAAGAAATCTTGCGACAGGACATGATTTGTCGAGATCCTCACCTTGTCCGCAAATTGACTACTGACGATCCCATCGAGATTCAACTTGACAATCACGGAACATTCTAGAACTCAGTACTGTCATAGTACAATACAGTAATCATCATCATTTCATGTTCTATTTTTTTTACTATATGATTTAATATGGTAATCACAAACTAGTTGGTAATTGTTGGCCCAGGACACTTGCTCGCCCAGGACACAGGTCCCAACCCTGCTGGTTTCCTGCCCACTCACGCGGAAAAGGTGCAGATGCTCCTGAGTCGCTGGACGTGAAACTGAAGGGATCTGAAGGGAGCTACTTTGATGCTTCGTTGGATTCTATTTGGGATTGGACGTTTCATGACTTTTTCGATGTGAAAAAACTTGAAATCTAACTAGATTCGATTCTTAAGCATCAAAAACAGGGGGATGCAATGTTGTTGATACATGAATTGTTGGTTTCATTTTTTTTTGGAATTATACATTGCATCATGAGGCATGTAAGAGGGACATTTCCACGAAACCAACCGTTGGTTTGTTGATTCCAGTAGGTTTTTTGACACTGCTGGGTTGAAGCATCAAACACTATAGGGGACACCAACTGGTGAAGTTATATTTATATAATGCAATTTGTTCGTGATTTGGCCACCAAGTGGGGACATTTTCTGAAGCTGAAGATTCCTAGCATTCTTTTTGCAGGGTATCTAAGACTGGCCCCAATGGATGTTTGGTTGGTTGTTGTAAATATTTGTCGATACAGAATGCTACAAGGAAGTAGATGGACATCTGCCAGAGACTCTGATAGACGTAATAGACATGATGGTTTCATGTCATATTTTGAAATTCTGATTGCTGGTTTCAAACGTGTTTTATTCTCAATCAGAAAAAAAAGATGATTGTCCCCCAAAAATACCCTCTGGTAATTTAACATAGCTATTGAAAATGACCATTTATAGTGGATTTTCCCATTGAAAATGGTGATTTTCCATAGCTATGTTAAATTACCAGAGGGTAAATCCTCAGCATATTTTGGGGATACGTGGCTCAACCATGAATGAAAAGACGTCCCTTTTCTCATGGCTGTGGCGTCCCTTCAGGTGATATTTTCCTGGGCTTCTTCATGGTGTCGCTTGGCGGTCCAACGTCAGATTGAGGGCAGGTTGGCTGGTCCAATTTTCGCTGTGGTTTACCCTCTGGTAAACATACAAAAAACTATGGAAAATCACCATTTTTAATGGGAAAATCCGCTATAAATGGTCATTTTCAATAGCTTTTTGTTAGATTACCAGAGGGTAAGCAATTCTCCATATTATTGGTTCTGAAATGGGGAGGTTCGAGCCGCGATTTTCAGGTTCCCAAGCATTTTCAGAGTTGAAACGGCAGCGAGGCCGGACAATGGCCTTTGGAACTACAACTTCATGGGTCAGAAGCACAACCCCACTATGAAGTACAGCCTTTGCGTGGCTTGGGCTGGTTGGGTGCGACCGATAGTGTTGTCAAAAAAGGGCGCCCCAGAGACCTGGATAGACTCACGCAGATGCAATCAGGAACTTAAAATCATATTAGGCAAACATGATGGGTTGCGTTGAGGACTTACTTTGAGAATCTTTGAGATGTTTTCTTTGGATTTCTTTGGGTTCAGGATTTCTCTGCATTTCTCAGCAGCACTTTTCGCTTAGGTGGAGAACCCCCGTGAGTACTACCACGAGTGTCACAGGCAAAAACCTGCGCAGAAAAGCATGGGATGCAGGGCTGGAGCAAATCCAACAGTTCCTGCGTAGTGGTTTGAACTGTTTGACACTGTTTGTATAACCCAGGCACTTGCCAAGTAGATTCACAAAAGGATTGGCCTCTGGTTGGTGGTTTGGAATATTTTTTATGACTTTCCATTGGGAATTTCATCATCCCAACTGACTTTCACTCCATCATTTTTCAGAGGGGTAGGTTGAAACCACCACCAACCAGAATAGCTTATTAACCATCATTAAACATCATCATAACCATTAATATTAACCATTATTAGCCACCAACCAGTTGTACAATGGAAAATCATATATTAACCATCATATTAACCATTAATAACCATTAATAACCATTAATAACCATTAACGACCATTAATAACCATTAATAACCATATATATTGACCATTATTAACAATATATATATATAAAACCAACCAATGGTAGGTAGCTCAACCACCAACCAGGCCTCCAACCAGATGACCCGGATGGGGATGATCGCCTGAAAATTAGGTCGAAAGAGCGCGTCTTGCCATGGAATCCTATATACTGTACGGTATAGTGCTAGTGATATATACATATAATATATATACTTGGTGGCTCATTCCACTTAGTAAGTGGGTTATAACCCCAGTTATAAATGGGATAAGTAGGGTTAATCCACTTATAACTGGGGTTATAACCCACTTACTAAGTGGGATGAGCCACCAAGTATATATATATATATCCATGAAATCCCATCTTAGATCACCATAAGATCACGTTTAAAAGTTTTTAAAGCACCATTTTATTGGTACCCTGGTACTAGATAGCACCAGCAACAGGTAATTTGAACCGAGCATGACAGGCCAGCGCATTTCCTGAACTTCACTCAGCAAGAGGAAGGCGGCGCAGAGGGTGCTGACCATGAGGAGAGAGTGTGCTGTTGGTGGCGGTTCATGGTCATGGTGGTCGATGGTTATACATTGTTATATAATTACTGTATAATACCTACTATATCGTACTATATATATTTATATATAATTATATGTAATTTCTCATGCAATTGTATATCTGGTTGGTGGTTTCAATCATGAATATTATTTTCCATAATATATGGGATAATCCTTCCCATTTACAAATATTATTAATATTTTTTAAAGATGGTTAAAACCACAAACCAGATATAAATTGAAAGATTCTGAAGGAAAAAAGCCCGGTGAAACATTGGTGATTTACATCCCAAATCGTGGGTCGTTGCTCAGATCCCTATTTTTCAGGGACCATTTCTCAGGGGAATGTGTTTGAAATTGGGATTTCTCCACTCATGAAACATGGCAATGGAAATCCCCCATATCTAACCATATTCAGATCATTTATAGATGACATTACCAGTTTGAAGGGGATATTGTTCAAGTGATAGACTTTATATACCGGTAACTCGTACCTTGGATGGCTACAAACAATAGCTAACAATCACTCTCGGGCTCTTGGGGTGGCGGAATGACCTGGAGCTGCGTGGAATCTGTGGCCTCCAGTGGCCTCCAGGATCACTTTGTGTGAGTGTAAGTCAGCGTCGATTGAGCCGAGCCGCAGGGTCCATGTCTTTAACCGTGAGGATTTCAAAAAAATCATCACAGCCCACATGCTGTTGTTGCTGTTGCCAAAGAGATTTGTGCTGCTCGGTTACAGTTACATCAGTTACAGAGATTAAAACTGCGGCGCAGATATCAGTCCTGTTTGCAGAGGCTGCCGAAGACGAGGGAGTCCACACTCTCGTCGTGCTTATCTCTCACCCTTTCCGCCCGCAGATTTCGCCTTGATGGTCTTGAAGATGAAACAAAAACTGAAGGACATCGGACATCGAAACAGAATGATTATGGGTCCTTTCAAAGGATCAGAAAAAAAGCATTTGAGTAGAACAATACAACATAGTCTAAGTATCAGATACCAAATGTTGAGACATGAAGCACAGAGCCGCAGTTTTGAAGTTAAGAAAACTGCAGAAGGCCAGAGTGAGATCAGATTGCTCTGCGTGAGGAGCAATCGCTCCGTACAAAAAGAGGGCGATTTATCGCCGGGAGTTTTTGTTGGGTGCTGTCGAATCCGCCTAGCTACACAGATGTTCAGCTATCATATATATATAATATATATATATACAATGTTTGAGAGTAATTTCTACTATAAACATTAGTGCTTATAGGATTGTATAGGTAAATATTTATGTGGTGTGTCAGGAGGGTAGACAAATATCAGATGAATAGATCACAGGAGAGACCTGTGAGTTGTACCCATCGACTGTTGACTCTGTGTAATGACAGTATAGAAGTACCTGACAAACGCAGCTAGTAGATTAGTAGATAGAACTAATTATTTGAAAACAAACAACATTTTATATGTTGACATATATATATAATATATATATATATATCTATATTGTTCTAAATAGAACCCCTGTGGCTGTGTGTTATCTAAGATGGTCTCCGGGTGGTCATAGTTATATTCTAAATAGAAGCCATGCAGCCATGGTTGCTCAAGTTATAGATTCGATCTGGATGAACAACACGGGCAGTAAAAAACTGGTGATGTTGAAACTGTGGATGCAGTTTCTACGCAGTAAAGCTGCGTAGCAAAGTATCAAACTTCAGTGCTTCCCCGACTCATCCCAAAATTATATGCCAAAACGCCAAATCATCCATGTGTGCTGGGGCACAAGCCCCATAAGTCCCCAATCCTGGATAATCCAAGTCCAAGTCCTCCTTTTTGACTGCCCCCGCATCTTCAGCCCTTGTCATGGTGGAAACCTCAGAGCCTCAGTGCCAACACAGATTCGGGGACGCCAATGTCAGCGTGTTCCCATCATAAATTCCACTTTGAAAAGAACTGAGCTAAATATATTATAAGATATTATAAATATACTTCATCATCTGAGAGAAATGGATGTAAATCTGGTTGGTGGTTTGGAACATGAATTTTATTTTCCATACATGGGAATGTCATCATCCCAACTGACTCCATCATTTTTCAGAGGGCTGGCTCAACCACCAACCAGAATAGCTAATTAACCATCATTAACCATCATCGTAACCATTAATATTAACCATTATTAACAGTATAAAACCAACCAATGGTAGGTAAATCTTCCTTTTTCCAAGATGTTTTCAGCATTTTCCAACCAGAAATGGTGGGCTGACCTGGGTCCTTTGTCGGGCCAAAAACCGGCCCCTGAGGCAGCAGATCTGCTTGTGGATCAGGAGGAACCCGAGGAACCTGGGACTGGGAAATGTATGTAAATGTCCCATTAGATGATATAATATATATATATACATATATACATATATATATATATACACCCTCCAGTAAATTAACATAGACCCTGGCAGTCATCTGGGTTGGAAGATTAGTTTCCACTAGAAAATTGTTATGTTCAGGGTCTATGTTAATTTACCAGAGAGTATTCATTAGATGATAGATATCAATATCAAATATCTCATTAGCTACATAAATGTCCCATTAGATTGTATCCCACAAATATTTCTTGTAGATTAATCTCAAAGGTATGTGGTTTCATTTGATTGTTAGGTCATCAACATATGTTGAATTAGATGATATCATCAATGACCTTCGAACTCGAGATGTTTCAACTATAGACAAGGCTTGGTAAATATTCATTTTTGGGTTTTTTCAACCTCATGTTAACAGAAGTATTTGTTAGAATTATATGCCCTCTTGAGCACCTGTGATGTGAAACTTAGGACATGTACTAAACCCTCAATATCCTGCTGCGTTTCTTTTTTGGTAAAGTTGTCAAGAATTTGAGATGATCAACCACTGTTTATACCCAGTGTTCCAGGGTATTTTTCCTTTGGAATTCCCCAAACTTCCATGTAAACCGATGAGATCTAAGTTGGAACTGCCAAAAAGAATCCAATCATTGCCCCTAATATTGGTGAGATGAAATTCCAAATTACTTTACTTCGTGTGATCCCCACCATGACATTTATACATTTTGTTACTGGCAAATCTTCTGGCATTCTATCTGACATATTTTCTGGCATTCGATCTGGCATTCTATCTGGCATATCTTCTGGCATTCTACCTGGCATATCTTCTGGCAGATGTTCTGGCATATCTTCTGGCAGATGTTCTGGCATATCTTCTGGCTTCTGGCATATCTTCTGGCATATCTTCTATGTTCTGGCATATCTTCTGGCATTCCATCTGGCATTCTATCTGGCATATCTTCTGGCATATTATCTGGCAAATCTTCTGGCATTCCATCTGGCATTCTATCTGGCATATCTTCTGGCATATTATCTGGCAAATCTTCTGGCATTCCATCTGGCATTCTATCTAGCATATCTTCTGGCATATTATCTGGCAAATCTGCTGGCATTCTATCTGGCAAACATTCTGGCACTTTATCTGGCATATCTTCTGGCATTCTAGCTGACATTCTATCTGGCATTCTATCTGGCATACCTTCTGGCATTCTATCTGGCATATCTTCTAACATTCTATCTGGCATATCTTCTAACATTCTATCTGGCATATCTTCTGGCACTCTATGTGGCATATCTTTTGGCGTGGATACTCGCGGTTGAGGTCCGGCAGGGAACACTGGGCGTGGATGGTCGTGGTTGAGGTCCGGCAGGGAACACTGGGCGGGGATACTCGCGGTTGAGGTCCGGCAGGGAACACTGGGCGTGGATGGTCGTGGTTGAGGTCCGGCAGGGAACACTGGGCGGGGATGGTCGTGGTTGAGGTCCGGCAGGGCACACTGACGTGGATGGTCGTGGTTGAGGTCCGGCAGGGAACACTGAGCATGGATGGTCGTGGTTGAGGTCCGACAGAGAACACTGTGGATCGCGGGTCGCTGTTGGACGAGGAGGACGAGGAGGAGGACGACGAGGAGGAGGAGGAGGAGGAGGAGAGGAGGAGGAGATGAGGAGGAGAGGAGAGGAGCAGGCAACTGACATAAAATCTAACAACCCTCACCTGGCAGGTGGGGAAAAAACATGTTGGTGTTAGCGGATTACATCATCATATACCCACAGACAAGCTGGATACTTCATCTAATCTCAATATATCTCAATTGATTTCACGGTTTCTTACCCACTTACACCTACAATTTATAGAACAGCGGGCCTCATATGACCTCATATAATGTATGGCCATAGCAAGAATGCTTCAGTCATCAACCCCAGAGCCCATCCAATTCTCATGAAGATTCAACCAACGGGGGGGGACCTGACGCACGGTGCTCCCATGATATTCAACTTTTTTGCTCATTGATCATTGATGCCATCCCGAATTTTCATATGACACACATTGAAACACCGCGATTCTATGGTCCCAGTCATATGTGTCAATAATTGTAGTTATATTAGCGATTTAGCAGAGAAACCTCTGGGTCGTGTTCAAAAAAAGATTGAGAGATAAGATGAAATCGCATTCGACTCAATCCCAATACATCCATCATTGTTTGTTCAATGCCCATTCTGTCCCTAACATTTCTTGATTCGGGAAAAAAAACACCTATAAATATGTCAAATAACATAAATAACATGATGAAACCTGCAGATTTTTCATGATCTTTCCATTTTTCCCCTTGTTTGGATGCTTCTTAGAAGCCCCATATCGCCCCACATCGCCCCATCGGCTGCAGCTGGTGGTGGAAGTCGTCACACGTTTGGTGAAGCAGAGCCTTCAGCCGGAGGTGCGGTTCCGGGGGGATGGGATTTCAACTGTGTGTGTGGGTCAACTGTGTGTGTGGGTCTGAAAATGATGCATTGGCCATCCAAATCATGAACGATACAATGATGGGATCATGATGAGTACCCATCGATTTTTTGGGGAATACTTCGGGGTTAAATCAACCATTTGGATTTGGGAAGATCAGAGATTTTAAACATAGCCCAGATATTTGAAGATATATGAACCATCACATACCCTCTGGTAAATAAACATAGACCCTGAAAATCATCAATTTTTAATGGAACCTAGTCTTCCAACCCCTATCTGCCAGGGTCTATGTTAATTTACCAGAGGGTATATTGAAATATCTTGGGATGGTTGAATGGTTGGGACATTTTTCAAAGCCTTTGGACAAGCTTGGGAATCACAGGTGTAGCGCTTGAATTTTGAGACACTCCAGCAGCATCACTGACATATTTTGGACCAACAAAGAGTATCAAACCCATAGGATCCATGTATGCTGCTATATATGGTAACATTTACCATCAATATACCCCCAATGTTGGCATATATACCATACATGGGGCATATGGGAAATGATATCAAATGGCCGGGCAAGGCACCTGTGGATCCTGGAAGCGAAGGGATGCGCTCTAGCCGTGGTGGGTTCAGAGGTTCAATGGCAGGAGTTGAGTTTTGCTGCAGTCATGCAGTGGGACCCGAAGCGTTGGCTCAAATAGACTTCAGCCCACGCTGCAGATACATGAGAAAGATGAGGTTAAAGGTAAACTACCCCAATTTTAGGCAGTTCAACATCTCCAAAGATCTCCAAACATGGCAAACATCTTTGGGTTTGGGATACACGTGGCCTCTGCCATGCAGCACTCACCTAGTCCTAGAAGTCGCAAGGCTGACATCTTCATGGTTCAGACGAGTCTCTCAAACTTGAGGATTTCAAGCTTCGCCAACCCTGAGACACTTCGAAACGCTAGAAACCTCACAGAAAACATCAACATTCAACCATATTCCAACCAACCTCATAGCCACTTCATACATCTTCACCCCAACCCCCAGCCCCCCCAGCCCCCCTCCCCATCCATCCCCATCCATCCAGCCATGGGAAGCCTCGGTCCCATCGGTGCGATGGAGCTGACGGAGGCCGATATCGCGGATGACGTGCCCAACAGCTCCCGACAGCTCAGCAGTTGGCTGCGGCGCACGCGGCAGAACAAGATCCGCAAGGCACCCCCGTGGTGGGTCGGCGTCAGGGTTGGCCCGGGGTGGGCAGCGGGGGTTGAACAAGTCTAAAAGTCTCCAAATTTCACATGATTTAAGCAAGAAGAATTGGGATTTCAAACCAGAAAGTAGGATTAATGTGCATAACAACTATATATATGTATATATATATATGTATGTATATTGATTTAAATACGAGTGACTTAACATCTGCCACCATCAAACAATGACCTATATATAATTAGTAATGTGATAAACCCAATGCCAAAAACAACTAGCGTTTGGGGATAATTAGTGGCCATTGATGGCATCGTTTGGATATGTGTATACATATGATGATATATGGTGCTGCATATATATATATATATATATCTGCCTTGGCAATTCGGACATTTTTTATTTTTTGCTGTGTTCTTCACACCTGTGAGCCACTGTCCAGTCAAAAGGGTTGAGTTAGTAGTAGTTCATTGTAATATATATTATATACAATAATAATACAATGATATATATAATAATATGTATAATACTATATATAATAATATATATAATAATATATATATATATATATAAATCTATATAATAATAATAGTAATAATATATATATAATATATATAATAATTTATATATATATAATAATATGTATAATAATAATAACATATAATAATATATATATATATAATAATAAATATATATAATAATAAATATATATATATATATAATAATATATATATATATATATAACAGTATATATATAATAATATGTATAATAATAATATATATATATATATATAATAATAATATATATATATATAATAATATATATATAATAATATATATATAAATATAGATATATATATAATAATATATATATAATAATATATATATATATTATAAATATATATATATATATATGTAATAATATATATATATAATAATATATATATAGGTATACACACTTTACAACTATAGTTAAAGTTAAAACCTATTTTTTCTTGGGTAAATGGTTCTTTTTCATGGTGCAGCTTGCGTGTCGCCGTGGCGAGGTGGTACGAGAGGTGTACCTGCGGGATGACATCAGCCCCGAAGCCTTCGAGGGGGCGGATCAAGTTTTAATCCTCGAAGCTTTGGCCATGTTTTTATTGGTGAAATATGGTGAAATGGTGGTTTAATCATGGTTTCATTGGCATTTCAGGGTGATTTCATGGTGAATTTATGGGGATTGAATGGTGATTTTACAGGGATTTAACGGATATTCACGAGGATATATATATATATATGTATTATATATATATATATATATTATAGACGTACTTATGTAATTGGATATAAAACCAACATGATGGTAATGTCCGAAACATGGCAAATTTAAATGGAAGAACGTTAACCAGTGGATGGAATGGGGTGCCGTATGGGATTTTGGTGTCGACTTTCAGTGAACATCCCGGAACCATGTTATGAATGTCAATGTAATATTCCCAAATATGTCCCAGAAATATTAGTTTAGATTTTTTTCGTTTTTTTTTTGGCAAGTTGATTTTCCATCTAATCTTTTGAGGAGTCATGTCAATCATGTCAATTTTCCACGTTACTTGAAGACTTTTCAGACATGTAGCTGAGGGCTTAGGCGACCTTGACCAGCACTGGTGATTGGCTGATGTTTCTAGGCTTTGAGGGAACAATCGTGAACCATCCCTGAAATAGAATCATGAATCTGCAATGGCCTACTAAACTTACTAAACATGATGTCTGATATGAATTGATATGATATGTGCAGGTTCAGTTGGCAATCACCAATCACCTGAGGTCCTGAGGTCCTGAAAGGCATGTGAAGCTGTGTCTGCAAATCGCTCCATAGATCATCAGCATCATAGTGATGATGACGACGAGGATGATGATGATGATGCAGATTATGACAAACATCGAATTGAGGTACCCTCTGGGAAAACATATATTGATTGGCCAGTTTCATCCATTTTCCATAAGCTACGTTTAAAAATATGTCCCATTACTATCCCCAATTTTGTTGTTAAAACCCCTCAACAAATCCGAATCAGCATGTTTCACCATCAATTCCCCTCAAAAACCACCCGGGGTACCATCCGGTTATTTAACATAGCCATGGAAAATCACCATGCTATTAATAGGTAAACCATCTATTTCTATGGGCCATAGCTTAACCATGGCTGAGTTAGTCATAACCAGATGGTAAAGCATGTGGAATGATCAGCCTCAGGACACCAACATCGTGTTGCATCAGATCGATCTGATCGCAGAAGATGAGTGTGTCTTGGCCGCGGATGCGGCAGGGGCTGTGAAATGCTGTGAATTTCGACCATGGCCGCAGGGAACCAAGCGCTGGTGCCACCAAGCATGTGAAGCTGTGCTGTGAAAATTGGATGTAACAAAATATGTAACAATGATACAGCATGGATCAGTGGAGCATGGCATTTCGGGCAGCAAAATTATTTGGGAATGAAAAGCCATCAGAATCCGTCAGGAAATCCGTGGCGAAGCCCTCAGAAATCATAGAAATCCCAAAACTACAAGCAAATGCCATCAGATGCATCAGATGAATCAGATGAATCAGATGAATCAATCATATCAAGTATCCCAAACACATATGTTTCCGACTTCAATTTGTGGCGTGGCTGGCTCTATCAGAAGGTCTCCCAGCTCGCGAGGTGTGAACCACGTGGTGGTGCCCTACACCGTCCCTGGGCAGTGGCAGTGCAAAACGGTGGGTGGGTGTTTTGCAGGTGAAGTCCACCCATTTCGAGTGGTTTTCATAACTATAGGAGAACCATATATAGGATAATCTATGGTCTATTATGGTTTATTATAGTTATAGATACTAGATATATGGTAACCATGCAAATCTATAGATATAATAGGATTATTATGGTTCTATATAATATCTATGGTCTATTATATCTATAGATGTTCATGGTCTATATGAATCTATATGATAGAAGTTCTAATAGAAGTGTCTATTGTACCATATTATACCTATAGATTTGCATGGTTACCATCTGGTTGTGACTAACAGTTCGCCATTTGTCAAGATCCACCATGTTTAAGAACGGTAAACCATCTATTTCTATGGGCCATGGCTTTTATGGGTATGTTAGTCATAACCAGAGGGTAATTCTTGGCCCCAAAAATGGTGTGATAGTTTTGAATACCTGGTTGGTTTGACCAATCCCCCAGCATTCGAACGATGATTTTCCCAAAATTGGAACCTCCGTGGCCACAGGGAGTTTCCCAGGTTCTGCAAGAGGTGAGACATCGCAACATGGGAATCTACTCCCGGCTGCGGGCCCTTTGTCGCGTGGAGACAGGTGCACGGTGAACCGCGCGGTTCATCACGGTTCGTTCGTTGCTTAGTGGGTTGATGATTGCGACCAAAAGTCTGGATGAGTGGTTGCAGATACTACCGGGGTGTTGTACTATCTGGTTAATTGATGTTAATTATTTGATGTTCATTGGAGATTATTAAGACTGGTAACTCACTATTCACAATGATAATCCTGATTTTTGCCAACTATGATAGAATGACATTTCCGGTTTTGAACGCGGCCCTGTGGATATGGAGAGATTCTTCAACTACTTAGGGTCTGAATAATCCATCATAGATGTTTCATATTTGAGCAGCATAATTTACAGTCCGAGCATTTGCCCAGCTTTACTTCACTGTAATTGCAATTTCCGAATTTCAGATCCGAAAATCGCAACGAGTATTGCATGATGATATGATATGATATGCTATGATATGATGATGTAATTATCCCCTAAGAGAATCCAAATATATTTTTAGTGACATGTCTCCTTCTGGATGCATATGGCATGTTCATTCACAGATTCACAACGAATAGTGGCACGCCGTCAGACAATAATGACACAAGGATTGAGCTATGGATCATATCCTAATGGTATAAGGAACCCTATCTAAGCTGGTTGTTGGTTTCAAATATGCGTCATGTTCAACTGCATTTTATTGTTTAAAAGATAAATGCTGATCCCAACTCAGCATGTTTTTGGGTGGCGAAGAGCACCACAACGAACCTCAAATGGAACAATGGCTACGTTCCAAGAACGTTCCAATCACGTAATGAGCATTTTCATGGCCAAGAAAACATTACTTAAAACCATCTATAGTAATTAAACATAACTACTGTAAACTCCATATAGATGCCAAAAAGTTTTTTTTTTAAAAAAAAAACGCAATTTCTTTGGATTTTACCAACTTCGGCATCTCTTTTGGGGGTTGCTGAAAAGTCCTTCACCATGAAATCCCATTGAATCACCATCAAATCCCCAATAAATCCCCATTAAAACCCATTGAAACCCATTGACATCTCCATCAAATCCCTATCAAATCCCATTTTTGTTCACCATTGTTTCACATATTTCACCTTTTTTTGCACTATGTGTCACCATTTTTTCGCCATTTTTCACAATTTTCCAAATGACCATTCCATGGATCCCCGGTCGTTCCCCCGTCGCAGGCGATGCTCGAGAGGATCAGGTGGCCGAGGAGGAGTTGAACGAAGAACCTGCGCCCGCGGGTGGCTCGCTGGCATTCACTAGATAAGTTATATAATCTAATTACTAGTGAACTATAGTTATATAATCATTACTGAATAATAACATATTATAGATATAATTAGATTGGTTAGATAGTTATATAATCACTATAGATATTGTTAATCATTACAATCTAGATATTACTATTGGTGTATTAATTGATATTAATATATGTTAATCTAATATGGATATGCCTGAAAATGGGGTATATGCAATCGATATAGTTAATACATGCTAATACAATCCAATAGTTGATAGTTAATCGTTAATACAATGGTACTTTCAATAGTTAATAATTAGTCAATACAATACAATATAGTTAATACAATCAAAAGTTACAATAGTATTTAATATGATGTTAATAGTTAATACAATGTAATTTCTACTGTAATTGCAATAATCGGTATTAATCTCATGAAATTTAATACATTAGTATAGTTAAGTCTACAACTATATAAATTATAGATTATAGTGTGATATATAGTTATATTATATCTTTATATATCGTGATTAACCTAATGAACAATTTATGATCTTTAGTTGTAATACAAAGATGTAAACATGCCACCAAAATCCAGTTGATATAGTGATAAATGTGGAAACATAACATCTCGTCAAGACGAGTGATAAAGTACATTGAATGTACTAATGTGACAAATTACTGATTGGGATAATAGTGACATATTACTGTTTGAGGGTAAAGTACCAATCAGTAATTACTTTGCGCGAGTGATAAAGTACATTGAATTAGTGATAAAAGATGCATCTTTTTGTTTAAGTTCCACTCGGACTTAAAATCGAGGTAGTACAGGATAAACGATAGAACACAGATAAGATACAATACAGATCAGTCAAAATACACACCACAAATCAACATATTTTTTCAGTTTTTCTTGTTTCTGTTTTTCTGTTTGATGTATGTCTTTCCAGTTTTGTACAATACATTTTGTTTTTTCTTTCTGAATATTCACTATTATGAGTTGTTATTGTTATCCAATTTTCTTCTAAGGTTTTCTAAGGTCAAGGTTATGAAGCTTCATTTAGATATTGATATTAATACTATTATTCTATATCTATAGTCACTACAGTCATATGTCTGGCCCATGTGTAGTAGACCGTGCCCTTCAGAAAAGCAGGGTAGCCGCATAGACGCAGCGAGCAGAGGCAATGCGAAGCGGGGCAGTGGAGACCGAGAAAAGGCGGGCATCAAGTCCACAATCCATGGGGAAACTCCAGCATAGCTATGGAAGCCATGGCCCATTTACAGTAGTCAGATGATTTATCACGATTTACCGACCTAGATGATGTAATTACTATTGATACAAATATACGTAGTTATATGTATTTATATATTATACTATATATATATTATATGTAGAATCTGGATGAATTTGATCATGACACCTCACTGTGTGTATATATATATGATCATATATGATCATATATACATGTATAATATGGAAAATTTGATCATGAGCTCATTCTATAATATATATATACATATATTTGGTTGGTGGTTTGGAACATTTTTTATTTTTCCATTCAGTTGAGAATAATAACCCCAGCTGACTTTCATATTTTTCAGAGGGGTAGGTCAACCACCAACCAGATACAGTATATATCATAATTAACCATCATCATAACCATTAATATTAACCATTCTTAATAGAATATTACCAACCAATGGTAGGTAGGTCAACCACCAACCGGTGATATCCATAGATTATCCATAGATTATGGGACTTATTATGGATAATCTATAGATAATCTATGGAATCTATGGACCATATATATATATATATATATATATGGTCCCAGCCGGCGGCCGGCAACCCCCCCCCAATGGTATCCCCCCCCCAGACACCCATCCCCAGGAACCATCCCCATACATACATACCTACCATACATACATACATACATACATACATACATACATACATACATACATACATACATACATACATACATACATACATACATACATACATACATACATACATACATACATACATACATACATACATACATACATACATACATACATACATACATACATACATACATACACACACAGACATACATACATACATACATACATACATACATACATACATACATACATACATACGCGCATTTTTCAGTTTGGGTAGTAGCCCCGTCGATACTGGAAAATGTGTTGTCTATATGAGTATGATGGTAGACAGGGGATAGGATAGACGGCGCTTCTTTTCAGTGTTGGGGTAGTAACCCCCTCGACACTGGAAAATGTTGTCTCTATGATGGTAGACAGGGGATAGGATAGACGGCGCATTTTTCAGTTTCGGGGTAGTACCCCCCTCGATACTGGAAAATGTGTTGTCTATATGAGTATGATGGTAGACAGGGGATAGGATAGGCGGCGCGTTTTTCAGTGTTGGGGTAGTAGCCCCCTCGACACTGGAAAATGTTGTCTCTATGAGTATGATGGTAGACAGGGGATAGGATAGACGGCGCATTTTTCAGTTTCGGGGTAGTACCCCCCTCGATACTGGAAAATGTGTTGTCTATATGAGTATGATGGTAGACAGGGGATAGGATAGACGGCGCGTTTTTCAGTGTTGGGGTAGTAACCCCTCGACACTGGAAAATGTTGTCTCTATGAGTATGATGGTAGACAGGGGTTAGGATAGACGACGCATTTTTCAGTTTCGGGGTAGTACCCCCCTCGATACTGGAAAATGTGTTGTCTATATGAGTATGATTCGTGATAAAGGGTCAGCCAGGTCAAATCTATGAAACTTATGCTTTAAACATCACCGCCCTGATGATGGAGAATTATATAGAGCATCCAGCAAATTTCAGCATCGGGGTAGCAACACCCTCGATGCTGGAAACATCTCTCCACCGTGAAGGATACACACTTAACGGTGACTCAGACTTCGCTCGTGAATCTTCGCTCGGCACCAAGGACAAGTTGCCACCCTTCAAGGGCCTGAGCCACAAGGAGATGCAGGAATTGTCGCTGAAGAATCTGCCAGGTGTCACCGGCCATGGGTAGTTCACCGCGCTTAAATTGGTAAACAAAACATGACGGTGTGATCAGGAACCAATGGGAGGTTTGAGATGGTTTCAGCAGGGAAAATTGATGTGTGGATGGTGGTTTTGATTTGTGCTCCCACTCATGGAAAATTCCATCTACTTGATTTAGGAGGATTACGCAGTGATAACTTCGAAGAATATAGAACGGACTGCAAGACTCAAACATGCTGGTGCTGAGACAGCAAATTTTTGGTGGTTGAATATTGTGAAAAACGTTATTCCACAAAGCTTTTTTTGTTTTTTATGTGCGGTTTCTAAACCTCATGAACATGCCATGTTGCGTCTAAAAAAGGGCTTAAATATGACCAGGTAACTGGCAATCTTCGCATGGGAAAACGGTGAAGCATGATAGCAATGTCTATGCAATTTAAGGATAACGGCAACCAAAGGTGGGAACCAACCACCCACCCCCCAAACACTTGCCATGTTTGTTTCGAGGATGTCCTAATACCAGACACCCCATATGAAGAAGCCTCTCCTGCAATCATTGTTTTTGATTTTCCAGGTCACTTCTCCGGCATGAAGTTTCCACACAACGCAGAGCAGCTCAAATCCAAATCCTTTGGCCCCAGTTGGTACACGGATGCGTTCCGCAATTTTGGTACCTTGGCCGAGCGTCTGGGGTGCTAAGGGATGCTAAGTTAACTTGGTTGGCGCAACAGCCCAAATTTGGATGATGAATACATTGTACCAGTTATACCGGATACCAGCATGCCTTCTTCCGTCGGAAGAACATTGGCCATAGATGATAGCTGCTGATATAGATGGATATTGATTTTGGGGAGAATGGGAAGTAGATTACTAAGTAGATTGATTATCATTCCGCAATTCAGGACGGAATTCCATCACCTCCCACAGACCCAGCTAATACGGTATCGTCGACAAACGGCTGGGAGTGGGTCCCTGTGCAGGGTTGTTTTTGCGTTGGGTCAGGCTAAATTCTGTGTCTTTGCTAGTACTATCAGGATTAATTGCACGGTGATTTTGGCACATTTCCCCGGGGAATTGGCTAGTTTCACTGTTTTCTGCTCTGTGTTCAAGCGCAGGCAAGAATATGTGAAACTAGCTCCTGGCTTTGTGGCTTTTGAACGCACCTGTTCTTATCAATTTTCCTGGTTGGAAACGGTTAAAAAAAAACATTCACATAGGCATCTTCGATTTCTGGCTTTTAGCGGCTGAATTTCCCCAATCAGTCCCTGCAAATGGCTCTCAAATGTGATTTTCCCAAATGCGGAACCGCAGCCACGTCCAGCCAAAACCGGTCACGCCCTCTCTGCCCTCTCCACCCTCCTGTGCACAGAATGCCTGGCCCCGCGCAACTCGAAGTGTGCAGGCTGAAGGTCGTCAAGGCCAACGAGGCTGAGGTCCGGCAAGCCCTCCGCCGCCAAGGCTACACCCGGACGAGGGTAAGCCAGCTCTGGGCAGAGTGCCAACAAAGCCCACCGAGGAGTTGGGCCCAGAGGCAGCGCCAGAGCGCGCAGGACCAACCACAATGCATTCACGATGCCTCGAAAGAATTAAATAGCACGAATGATGCACCATCAATTATATATCCTGATTCTATCATAGATTGCTTGAGCAAGTAGGTTGATCACCGATGACCCGATACATTTCCTCGAACAACGACTTGAGAACAGAATTTATCAGTACATGCATACATACATACATACATACATACATACATACATACATACATACATACATACATACATACATACATACACACACATACATACACACATACACACATACATACATACATACATACATACATACATACATACATACATACATACATACATACATACATGCCTATACCTACCAGCCTACGTAGGTACATACATACTACACCCAACCCACCCCACAGGGGGGGCGGGGAAGCATGTATGTACCTTGCATGACATGCATGATAGTTGGATTCCAGGGAGGTAGTACACCCAATCCTAGGAACCGTCCCCATCGCATACATACATACGTACGTACGTACGTACATACATACATACATACGTAACATACATACATACAAATACATACCTAACATAATACACACATACACATACACACATTACACACAATACACACATACACACATACACACATACACACATACACACATACACACATTATATATATACATACATACATACATGCCTATACTTACCAACCTACGTAGGTACATACATACTACACCCAACCCACCCCACAGGGGGGGGGCGGGGAAGCATGTATGTACCTTGCATGATAGTTGGATTCCAGGGAGGTAGTGCGCCCAATCCTAGGAACCATCCCCATGGGGGGGGGGAGGGGGGGGGTTGCGGGCCTGCACCATATAATACCATATATATATATATATATATATCTATATATATATATAAAAAGGAACAAACATTGGGATCTGAATGGATCAAAACTGAGAGGCTCGGGACATGGCTTCAGCCCGCAATGCCCGGAAGTTCTACGTCTTCCCGCCGCTCGGTGATATGAAAGATGTTGGCTTCATATCCGAAAGATATGAACAGATGGATATCAACAGTTGAAAGAAACACAACTGTAGCATAGTGATGCATAGTGGAACATACTATATATAGCTACTTTTGGCTATTCAGAGTTTGAGTCACAGCCGTTTGGTCCTCCCAATTGCTGGCGACCGCAGGAATGAATTCTTTCGTGAGACCTACGTTGAGCGGCCACTTACTGAGAACGTTGGCCGATGGGGAAAGGCTGCAGAATTGACGTCAGGATTGCTACGATCAAGAGATATCAAGAGTATGATTCTGGTTGTCTACCATCTGGTTATTTAACATAGCCATGGAAAATCACCATTTTTAATAGGTAAACCATCTATACATGGGCCATTTTCCATGGCTATCTGAAATAACCAGAGGGTACATCTCCCAAAATTCATCAACAGTCCAGAGCAACGTATGTTTTTTTTCACAGCTGTGATCATCTTTCGTATTATCTGGGAGGTCAGAATGTTTCCTAAGGGTCGTTTGAGGTGTTGCAGCGTTTTGCTTCCGATATTCGACTGTTCAAAAAGGATTTGGTTTGTGGGAAATAGACATAGCTGGTTGGTGATTTCAAACATTGTTTATTTTTCCATTTCATATATGGGATGTCATCCTTCCCATTGACTCATATTTTTCAAGATGGTTATTGCACCACCAAGCAGATGAGAGATGTTAGAATCCTCTCATCTTATAGAAGATAAAAATCCCATGTATTGTGGACCATTTTTTATTTTCCCATATATTGGGAATAGTAACCCCAACTGACGAACTCCATCATTTTTCAAGAGGGTTATTGCATCACCAGCCAGCATAGCTATTGAAGAACACCATTTTTTCAATGGGTGAATCATAGGACTTTATCAGACTGGGCCATGCCTTCAGCGAGCTGCGAAAAAAAAAAACCAGAGGCTAGTCACTGGTTGAATCACCCATGATGGGCGACCATGATGATAGGCCAAAGTCCAACCTTTCGAGGAACATCAGCATGTTTGATATGTTTGATGGTTCAGGCCGCCATTTTTTCGTGAATTCAAAGATATTCAAACCATTGCTTTCCAGATGGTTTTGTATGTTTTGTTGATATATGTCAACTTGTCCGAGACTAGCCATGCTAAATATGAAGTACGATCAATAGTGATCCATGGGCATCATTATCATTAATATTTCATCACATGATTATCTATATTATCTGAAACTATATATTGATATCATTTCAAATGATATATAAATTATTCATTGGATTGGTTTAAGGGAAAATCTACAGGAAACTATCTTTTTTACCATTGAATATGGGGATCTCCGGTTTCAATTTTGCCTTAAACCAATCCAATGAATTATAGTACCCTCTGGTTATTTAACAGTTCGCCATTTGTCAAGATCCACCATTTTTAAGTTCGGGAAACCATCTATTTCGATTAGGGCCATGGCTTAACCATGGAGAACTGTTAGTCATAACCAGATGGTATAGTGATTGATACATAACCATGGAAATATCCACCAGATTTAATGGGTAAATCCACTATAAATGGCCATTTAGTCATAACCAGATGGTAATTATGTTGATCCTTGTTTTATCCAAGATTTCTCAACTCGGCCATCATAAGCCAAACAACCCTTTCCGCCAAGGCTCCCCCAGGAGTCGCAGAACGATCGGAACGACCGGGCCATTCGGCGGGTGGCCCATTGGTACCGGCGCCATATCGTGGCTGGGCGGAGATTTTTGGGGCCTGGATGACTTGGATGACTTGGATGGCTTGGGGTGACCCTATAGGAATTGAATTCATTACCCATGACGGATCCATATATGGTATATATGCTAACATGACTGGGGTATATTGATGGTAAATGTTACCATATATAGCAGCACCATGGATCCTATGGGTTACTTAAAACTATCTTTTTGGACCCATCGAATCCCATCGATCCAGATGAAAAAATCTGGATTGGTTGAGAAGATCTTCTGGGTTCAACCCCAAAGTTGTGATAGCAAAGTTGAAGTTCCCTGGTGAACTGGTGGGGTTATGGCAACCAAAAATAATCATTGGGTTTATAAAGCAAGAAACATAACTGGGGCCCACGGGCCCACCTTTATTTCGCGGAGGGCAGTTTCTATTAACATTCTTGATAGTTCAATTCTCATCACCATAGAATCACCTTAAAATTCCATTAAATCATCATTATATTCCATATCATCATCAAAACTCCATGCAATCATAAAATCCCATGAATCATATAACTCTCATTAAATCACCATTCGAAAAGTCTATCATCATAAAATCCCATGAATCACCAATCCCATGGAAATCCCATAAAAAAAACCAGCCTGTCTCACGATTCCCAGCATCTCCGACTTTAAGGTGGGTCCTGAAGTGGTGCTTTTGACGGACGACAAGGCGTGCCAGGGCAAGGCCACCTCAGATGGGCTCTTGGCGCTGCGGGCCGCGGAGTTTGTGGCGAAGATGCGGAAGAAGTGTCTCGGATGGAGATACCTTTAGATTAATGTTAATTAATGATCCGCGTTAAAATTTAAGCTACAGATTGAAGGGCCCTGGCCTAACAATCTAATGCATTTTATAAGTAAAACAGGGTTTTAAAAATGGGACAATTAATTCATGGGATTACCTTTAATGATGGTACGGGATTTCATCCCATAAAATCCATTAAAATCCCATAAGATCTTCTTTTGATGGTATGGAACTGGAGATACCTATATAGATTAATGTGAAAATTAATGGGATTTACTGGGGTTTACATGGATTATACCATCAAGAAACCCATCAAGAAACATACCATTAAAATCCCATCTCTATTCTGGTTGATGGTTTTCTAATGGTCTTGTTTTTTTTTTTAGAAAAAACCCATGGTTGACAGTTTCTCCAACACTTAGTGACTTAGAGGTGGTTGTTTTTTTTTGATCTGGACTATGAACAGTTCAGCCAGAGATGGAAAATCCATTGTTTAATTGGTTCTTTTTCATCAATGGAGATCCAAATTAGATGGAAACCATAGGTCATTGAGTTCGTGATTTAGCTAGATGATAGACTATTGATACATTATATATACATACATATAGAATCATATATATATATATATGCACATAATAATAATGATAATGATAATAACAATAATGATAATAATAATAACAACAATAATATATGATATATAATATATAATATATAATGTATAATATATAATGTATAATGTATAATATTATATAATAATATACTATAATAATATGTTGATACACATCTATCTATATAATATGTATAATCTGGATGAATTTGATCATGACCTCACGCCCTGACGTCACTGGAATGATGCTTTAGACTGCGGAGAATCATCTCCATGTGGCCGCAAGTTTGGCTATTTTTTGTTGGATGAGTTCCTCGGGAAATCTTTTTTATGCTATATTTTGGCTATTTTTTAGGGTTTCCCATGAAATCTTTTAACAACAGAAATGCTGGCGATATTAGGTACTATGAATAGTACTTATAAGACGCTAAGAGTATTCTATATGATACTATCAATCGTACTGTCCTGTCCTCAATAGGTGCTTGGTCATTGATCTCACTAAGAATCTATATGAGGCACTTTTTTCACGATCAAAATTCTGGTAATTCTATGTAATGATGCTACTTAAGGAGAGTTCTCTTATGTCTGGAAAGTGCACAAGACACTGTGTAGCGATAGAGGCCCCCAAGAGTGATACCTGTAATTGTACATGATGTCCAGATATGATGTTGTCTTATACAAAGTTGCGTACATGCAAGAAGATTACCGATACCCCTAGCGATACCGGAGCGATACCCATTTTTTGCGGGAACTTCGCGAAGACAATGAATTTTGACAACGGCCTTTATACAAGGGGTGGATGGATAGGGTTTGTTCAACACCAAGAACCAAGTTTATTGGGTGTCACCTTTGGCGGGGAATACCCCGGTTTTCTGTGTTCGCTAACCCCAGGGTAGTTTTGTTTATTGCAGTCAGTATTTACTGCTAAGTTTTTTCGTATTTATATAAAGGGCACATGCAATTAGTATTTTCCTTAAACATAGGCTGGGCAATCGTTTATTTCCGGAAACATATTGTTCGATTCTGGGATTAGGCAGATCATTCTTAATATTCCTGGTGAGGATTAGATTGGGTTCTATCACTCTCTATCTCTGTATACATATGTCATCTCATCTCACCTTATCTCATCTCATCTCTTGTATTTTCTATATCTTATGGTATCCGAACTTACCCTCTGGTAAACTAACATAACTATGGAAAATCACCATTTTGAATGGGTAAACCCACTATAAATGGCAATTTTCAATAGCTATTTTGACATAACCAGAGGGTATTTTATGAGTTTTGATCTTTCAGACTCACATTTTTCCAACGAAACCGGAGGTTTCCAGAGGCCGGCGAGAAACTGGCGCTGAGGGATGAGGAAGAGGATGGAACCTTGGAATCCAATCAGATGGGCCGGCGAAATCCTGCACCACCAAAAAGATGCATAATCCCCTTCACTGTTCCCAACATTTCCCAGTTTAACGGACCGCAACATGAATAGATCATAGATACATGACTGAATCAGGGTTTCGTATACGTGCGGCAGTGTAACACAATAGTAGTTGTATAATGTTGTATATAATTGATGGGGGTTTTTAGAGCCATCAATCAATGCGGTATTGGGCATTTTCATTGTCAAAAAAAGGTGACTAAAAGAACACACATGGGATGCATTGATCAAAAACTAGCATTTAAGCATCAGACATGAACTGACCAAGCAAACAGGAAAAACTTGTATTGGCTTGTGGAATGTCGGCATCTTGGTCCATGTCCCATTTGTTTTCCAAAGGCAACGATAAATCCTTCACTTGTACATGATTTGAGCACTTGTTTCCCCTCCAACATTCTTGATGTTCGAAGATTTTCTGTATGATTTTCCATATGTTTTCCCATGATTTTCCAGCTTTCCTATGATTTTCCATATGTTTTCCCATGCTTTTCCATAGGATTCTCGATCCTTTCGCCCATCCAAACACCGGTGTCGGCCACCGGCCACCAAGGAGAGCCTGAGAAGTCCACCCCCAGCGCCACGCCCCGGTCCCATCCCCAGAAGCGGAAGAGTTTCGTCAGCGCGACGGATGGATCGGTTTCTCAGCGCCGCACTGGGGATGTGCCGGTTGGAAGCAACAAGACACTGTGGATATATGGGGATGGAACATGATGGAAAATGGAGATTTTTCACCATCGAACTTGTTCAGATTTAGCATGAAACCATCAAACATGATGTAACATGATTTGCCTAAAACAAGAAATACAATGATGTGGATTTGACTGGCTATATATAATTATATGTGAAAACTTAAGTAGCCCAAATCAGGATTTAGGATGATTTACCAAACAAAATATGGATTTAACTGTATGTATGCATGTATATATATATATATATACACACACACAGATGTCAAAACAACTTATAACCAACTTTACCAGATCAGGGTTTAAACATGATTGATACGCATGAAGAAACATTTGATGTTTAACCAACAATAACGATCAAGTATGTGGATTGAAGCCTCAGTTGGTGGTAATTTTCATGGGGAAAATGATGAAAACCAAGCCACATGCCCGGGGGCACCTTCGTTGGCGAGGTGTATCCAGCTCATTTGAAAGGAAGTGAGGCGCGGACGGGGAGACACCACAATGGGTTGATTCGTGGCGGCTAGTGGGATTTCAGTCGCCATTTCGAACGGCTAGAGATGTATTTGTGGGTCCAAATGTACTCTCGGGTAATTTGTTCCATAGCTACGGAAAATGACCATGTTTTATCATGTTTTATCAATCATCGTGTTGATCATCTATAAATGGGCCATCTTCATCCATTTTCGCTATGGCGGCCAAAAAAAACCAGAGGATCTGTCAATTCTCCCAATGACTTGGCCTCGTCGTTGAGATTTTCGGTGGCCGTTCTGTGCCCTGCAGGTGGAACAAGGTCTGAAAGAGAGGAGACTTTTTCAGGGTGGGCCGATCTGGGCTGATTCAGACATTTTTTGCTTGGTGGAAACAAAAGTCAAAATAAGCAAACAAAAACAAACGGGCCGACTTCGATCCCTGGAATGATGAGAATCCCGAATGACTAGCTTTGGGTGGTGGCATGTTCAATAACCAGTGTTATGTTTGTTTCAATCAATAACCACTGGTATTTGGGTGGATGAAATTGAAACGAATATTGGGGATTGGTGCACAAACGGTTTCCAACATCGATCTGATTTGTTTTTTTTTGTGGTTTCTCCCGGGTCTAGGTCCATTTCTCCCCCCTGAAAAAATGGCTCCAGGTATGTTGAGAATGCACATGAATACCTGCATGCACGGTTCGGTGACCTGTGCTGGGACTGAGACTTGGCTCAAGAACTGGTGTCCAAACTGGGTCAACTTGGGGGCTTTTCAGTACTTGGAGGTTTACTTTAAGTTATAAATGGGTGTAAGAATGGTTATGAGCCCTATCAATTGGGATATGGGTTAAGATATGGTTGCTATATCTATTATATAGCCAAATTCTGGAGCCAAAACCCAAAGAGGAATTTTGAGAACTGGTGGCTTGGGTGCCGGCCCTACTTGAAACAGGGACCACGATTGATTTGATTTCAAGATGCAATGTGATGCAAGATATTTATAGATATTTGATATATTTGAAGACACCTCAGTTCATAGGTTTTTTTCCTATTACTCTGAAGTCACTTTGTTTGAATCCCATCTTTTTTTAGGTGATATCCGGCACCAAAAAAAGTTCCCAGGGTTTTTTTCCCTTGATCATCCCCTGGGGATCCCCAGTTTTTTCACCTTTGGATTGGTGCTCTTGGGACAATTTTCTAGGTTTTACTCCCATATTTCATGGGAAAAGCCTTGGTTTCCGCTGGTAAGAGATTTTCAACATGCCCCGTTGTTCAACAGTTCCAGGGGTGAGTTTCCCCGGACAGGAGGAGATTGAGGTTTCAGGGCGCTTGGCTCTCAACAGGCAGGGATTCGCGCCACCAGTCAGGGCCTCCCGAAAGATGGAGAAGTAATTTACCAATTCAGGGGAGAACTTGCTTTTCTATCTACCCTCTGGTTATGTCAAAATAGCTATTGAAAATGACCATTTATAGTGGATTTTCCCATTGAAAATGGTGATTTTCCATAGCTATGTTAGTTTACCAGAGGGTATTTTTTGGTGTTTTATTCTGCCAAAGTCAACAATGAACATCAATGAACAATGACTTTCACATCATGATATGACAATCTTTTCTGAAATTTCACCTTAAGTTTCTCCCTCATCATCAACCAAATAATATCACCTCCAACAAAAACAACTCCCATCATCCCATCCTTCATATCCCAGAATTGGTTTCTGTGAAAATCTACAGGAACACCCCCAAACAATCGGGCTAAGACCCTTCATAAACCTTCTATTTCCCTGTAGATTTTGAATCAAGCATTCATCAAAACATGGTACAGTAACTAGATGTTTCATGTTTTCCCAATTTTTTTTTCAGTTTTCCTGTAGATCAACTTACCCTTTTTCACCAAAAAAAGGGCCCCAAACCCTGGGAGAACTCCACTGGACCAGGGCCATCGATGGTGACATCGTGGTGGTGGAGAAGTTGGAGGACGCGGAGGCCCTGGAGCGTGCCGACAAACGCCTGCGCCGCGAGCTGCCGGACCCGGACTTCGGGAAGAGCGACGCGCAGCCCTCCACCACGGATGCTGGGACATTTTTAACCGAAAAAGGTGGTTTAAAGATGTTTTTCGGATGTGGGATGTGGCAGTATATAGAATTTTAATGAATTTAAATATAGAATTATATAATATATAGAATTAGATAGATATATTGTATAGAGGTGTATATACCACTCACAAAAAAAGAACTGTTCAATGATTTGGCGTCTTGGAATTTCAAAATCTTGGATACTTTGTTGATCCTTGATTTTGGGGTAAAAAACTAAGTTTAGTTCATTGAAACGGCACCGGAGTTGCCAAGGATACCATCAAGGAGAATGCCACTGCGACCACGGCGGGGGATCGCCCCAAGGGTCGCGTGGTGGGGATTTTGAAGCGCAACTGGCGCGAGTACTGCGGGAGCCTGAGACCGTTGCAGGCTGAGAGGCAGCGTGAATCGGGTCCCGGAGTCTACAACAAGTCAGATCGGGTCTTCATCCCTACGGAGTCTTGACATTTCGATGGGTGAAGAATGGTGAAAAGTGTTGAAGAATGTGGTAATACATACACCATCCTCAATATTACCATACATTGGCATAAACCATGCCCAAATTTTTGTAGGTTTATTGTTGGGTTGACCAGATTTTCCATATGTCCGGGTTCTTGAGGTATAGCCAATTTTGACCCAGACCCAGACGTGGGGATAGGGGGTTTCTGTGGGAGAATGTGATGATGCGAATGGATTGCAAGCTGCAGGATGTTCACCGATGATGCTGATGATTTCGAAGGACAAAAAACATAGATGGGGCGCAACAGTTGCGCAACATGCAATGCAACACGATATATATCATATGTTTCAAACATTTTGAATATGTTGGTCGAATATGTGCCAAGTGGTTGCCAAGTGGTTTGAACACTTGGTCATGTGTCCAACATGATCCAAGCATGATCAGCCGCGCCACCAATTTGGCCAATTTGGCCGTCCCCATCCCCGGGGTGGTCGCCAGAAATCCGAAGTCGAACTGGTCGGAGATCATCTTCCCACGCGGCAGCGCGTAATCCCAACGATGAGATCATGGGTTATTGATGGTTATCTGATTGGTGGTTTGGAACATGACTTATTTTTGCATATATTGGGAATAATACTCCCAACTGACTTTCATATTTTCCCAACCAGTTATTGTATGGTTGTGTATGGTGAACTTGAAGTTATTTTTTGTGTAGCCATAGAAGATAGCTCATTCTGAAGTAAAGTTGTAGAACCTCACAATCCCATTGAAAAGTATTAAACTATACACTTACATATTGTCATATTTTGTAACACATTTTTTGGTGATATTTTTTTCATTTTTTTTCCATATTTCCCCATCTGGCAGCTTTGGGGCTCAGGATTCCAGATTGCCAAATATCATGATCCAAACACGGCACTCCACCAACCTGGAGCCTCTCGGCACCTATGAGATGTGCCGTCCAAAAATGGATGATTTCGTATATACCCTCTGGTAAACGTTTACACTTCGCTATAGAAAATCACAATTATTAATGGGTAAATCCACGATTTCAATGGCCATGGCTTCCAGTTCGCAAAGTGTAAACGTTGACCAAAAACCAGGTACCCGGACCTTGGATGGGAAAATATCCTCCATCCAAAACCCATCCTGAGACCCTGAGGAATAAGCGCATCGTGGTTGTTTTGGATGGCTGGGATCGATTCAGTCACTACCCTTCTGGACGAGGGAGGGGCATAGCATGGGTCACTAAGCTGAAGTAAATGCAGAAAATGCAGTTCAAGATTGCTGAATCACCCACCTTGAAAAAGTGGAGTCTATAATGATGTAAGATATGATAATATAATATATGACATATATATATTATATGTGTTATTGGGCTCATCTAAAGCTTGAAGAATTCGACTTCGATTTCCCCGTGAAACGGTGCAGGACATTGGACCAAAATCCTGGGTGACGTTGGAGATCGGAATGTGGAAAGCATGGTCATTCTCCATGAGCCGCCCGAGCTGGAAAGATCCCAGGCGTTTGACGTTTGTTTTGCAGTAGAAAAATCCGGGAAGTTCGATGTTACCATATTGTAAGCTGGTGTTGAATCGTGAACTGCCCTTAGGGTAGATCATGATAGGTTTTGTATTGTTTTGATGGAATTCATCATGGAACTGATGGAACTCTCCAGTTTAGCCTGCTTCAACTCACACGTTGAAGAGGTTGCATGCCCACTCGCTAGCATATTAAGGCATGATTTGATCGCATCCCCATAGCATCCAACATTGCAAGGTTTTCCCCATTTTTCCCCGCAGTTTTGGTGTTGTATTCCCCAGTGTTCAGCAGCCTGAACATCGCATGTTTAAGGGCGAAAATCAGAAGTGTTGATAGTTGGGGATGTTTTCTCGGACATGTTTGTGGGATATCGGATAGGTACATCAAGTCATAAATTCCCGAAATCAATCCCCGTTTCATAGTCTTTCTTGGGAAGTGATCGTTGATAGCTGTTTTAAGTCAGTTGCCAGCTAACCCGATCTCACACGTTCCAGCTACATCCAGCTACCATGACTGCCATGACCATGGATCCTGGGTTCGGAGCTATGGGGATCGATGGTTTTTTTAACCATCTGGTTATGACATTCACAGGGCCAGCCATGGGAAATGACCCATAGAAATAGATGGTTTACCTATTAAAAATGGTGGATCTTTCCATGGCTATGTTAAATAAACAGAGGGTATATACGTATATAATCGTATATATATATATTCTCTATTAAATGGGGGCCAAGGAACTATACTAAGAGTTTCCCTTTGCAGATTGAAACATAGATTGAATCACACAGCTATCTTGAACCATGGATTAAGCGCCATTTGACCTGTTAGGAACGGGATTTTATGGCGCCGAAAGCGTCACCATTTGCAGATGATGTTCTGAAGAAACCATGGGTTTTCCACATCTTTTTGGATGTTTCCTCTATAGGCTATAGTAAGTCCCAAGGAAGATTGAACCGCTTCAATTTATCGCTATTTTTTACATTGGATTTGACTAAATTCTATCTTTCCTCTACCAATGGTAAGAAACCAATTCCCAAAAAATATAGAAATATAGATAAGTTCTTAGATAAGTGATCAATTATGACTTTTATTCCTATGCTTCAATCTGCTTCAATCTGGTTTAACGTGGGTAAAACAATGCCATAAACGCACCATCCCCCAGTCATAACCATGTTTATAGGTGGTATATATAAACCATTCCCAGTCATGGGTGGTAAAAATGGCATGGTTTCAACCACATGAATCATCATTATTAACCATATATATATAACTATAGATTATGACTATTGACCATTATTAATTCACCATAATAATATTAACAAATATAGTCAATTTTAGCCAATATTAACCAATATTAACATTAATAGTATTATTATTAACCAATTCACCAATATTCACCATAGTCATGGGTGGTAAAAAATTTAATTCACCATTATTAACTGACCATTATTAACTGACCATAGTAATATTGCCAAATTGGTTAATTATAGAATATTCACCAATATTAACCAATAGTATATAACTATAGATTATTAACTATTCACCATAGTCATGGGTGGTAACCACATGGCCAAAAATGGCTATATGCTGTGTATTACCGAGGCACGGCGTCATCACGCGCGAGTTCAGCGAGTCGGTCTACCGCTGCCTGCCCCCGGCGCACTGGCAGCCCGGGCCGGCGGATCTGAAGGGTCGACGCCTGGCCGGTCACGTCAGGTCATGGCGGTAGGGTCATGGCGGTGGTGAAAGGTGGTGAAAGGTGGGAAGTCTTCAAAAAAAGTGGGAGTGAGATGTCAGTTATATGATGTAAATTGTAATATAATATTACATATATATAATATTGTGTATAATTACACATCATATCATATCAATAATTGATATGATATGATGTGTAATTATACACAATATTATATATATATGATATTATTGTGTAATTATAGCATATGAATGCATATTAATGCATATTGATAGCTTATTTTTTGTCGCAAAAAATGATGGCCATTGGAGTTTGCACAATTATTTTTGCATGGGATTCGGTGGCCGAAAAATGCAGACAAAGCCTGGGTGATCAGCCTGGTTGTTGATGGTTGTTTTGGAAAGCAATGGATGATGGTTGAATTGGAACTTGCTAAGGATGCTGTTGGTCAAGTTTCCCGGGGGATAGTCCGTTACGGTACGCCCAACGGTTCGTTCACTCGGTTCAAGAGTGACTATCCACGTAACGGGCTATGATCATTCTGTGAAATCTATTGAAATCTCAAGATGAATCTCAATATATAATGTTTCATCAGAATCACAAGGCCGTGCACTGTGAGGCTTCCTGCTTATCACTTGGTTTCTGTTCTCAACTAGTTGGTTATATCAAATATACCCCATAAACCCAAGCGTTCACCAAGTTATGTCGAACATCACCGAACTATAACAGGGGCCTAACTACTTGCAACTGATTTCTCGAACCAGGCCTGGTAGGTGTTTTTTTAGATGTTCAGATTCAGGCTTAATCCCATGATATCCCATAGTATAAATGGTCTATAACCATTATGTATGTTATAAGTGTATAAGTTGGAACTTGAGGGGATTAACTATGGTGTATAACTATGTAATGGTGTATCACTATGTAATGGTGTATAACTATCGTTGCCTATTCACCAGGTGGGAATTGACCGTGATTCTGCCGAGGAACCGACCTGCGGGACATTTGCATTTGCTCGGTGGACCCTCCGGGATGTAGCTCAGCGAAGGAGTTCACCAGTGATGCAGGGCCCAGGGGTGGATTTCCCAAGATTTCATCGGGTTTCATGATGTTTCATGTGGATATGCTGGGAAATCTAAGTCATTCTAAGTAATATGGCCAACTATATGGATTGATCTGGAAATATGATAATCCGGTGGATTTTGGTACCCTATTTTTCAGACAAAACCTTGCTGTATTTCACGCATTGCGTGCTGGACCTGACTGTTTATACCCTCCACTACTCAAACGTGGCAATGAAAAATCCACCATTTATAGATGATTTTCCCAATCCCATAGGATCCTAGTATGGTATATATGCTAACATTTGGGGTATATTGATGATAAATGTTACCATATACAGTATAGCATACATGGATCCTATGGGAATTAAAACTTGCAGTTATCGGGGATTTCCCAGCCACCTTTGATTGCCAGAAGATAATCATTCTGCTTGCAGAGTGTCGCCCTTCAACGACTTGAGCGTTCTTTTGAGTTTGTTTGCTGATGGATGCGTGAAAACCTTTCATTTTCTATGAATTTGGGGGGGACATGAATATGATGTTATTTTTATGGGAAAACAATGGAAAACACCTATTTTTTTAATGTTTTGGTGATTTTGTTTTGTGGTAAAATCTAAAACATTCTAAAACCACCATCATTCCCATGGATTTTGGTTTCAAAACTATCTGGTTGGTGGTTTGGAACATGGTTTTTATTTTCCATAGATTGGGAATAATGATCCCAACTGACCAACATTTTTCACAGGGGTTGAAACCACCAACCAGTATATCGAGTTTTCCGTGGCCAACGAGGCAAAGATATCGACGATGCGGTCTCCTGCGACTTGGATGCGCAACGAATCATGGACGACATTTTTGGAGGTTTCCTAAGTCATGGGGGTACCCCAGTCATCATCCATTTATAGGAAACCTCCATATAGTCCCAATAAACCAATATTTATCGATGGATTTTCAATTATAAACTATAAACCATCCATTTTGGGGTACCCCCCATTTATGGAAACCTCTATATGATGATATTATGTGTTTTTTTTCAATGAGGTGCAAGAAAGATCATGAATTTTCATTGGGATTGAACTGTCAATTTGCCAGCCAAAATATGGGGAGGGAAAAACCCAGCCAGTTGATGGTGATTTACTGGGAATTTTCGTGGGATTGAGCCAGCAAATATGGTGATTTGATGGGATACAATGTGGATTTGCTGGGAGAGAACGAGAATACTTTAAGGGAGATAGCCTACAATTCTTATGCGTATTTAAGGCTTCAAGCTACAGGGAGCCTTAAGCCTGAGGTTGTGAGCGAAACAATGGGCGATTCTCCAAAATGTAGGCTTCCTCCAAGCAACAAATAGTGTTCATGTTCATGATGAAGTATCCACAACTATCGAGGATGGGGATACACAAGTTTGATGCATTACCATATTTTGATGGTACTGTTTCGAGCTCTTCCTTGGATGAACAGTTCATCGTGGTTACAAACTACACAAGTCAACAATCAAGAACATGCGATCCAAATCCATCCGAATACAACTTGAGACCTCAAACCCACAGATTGTGATCAAGTCATGATCATGATCACCACCACCACCAGCAGCAGCATCATCATCAACAACATCCTCATCAACAACAACAACCACAACAACCACAACAACCACAACAAGAACCACTGTGCTGGTGAAATGCCGATGTTTATGGCAGAATGGTGCGTCCATGGAAGCGACCACAGCTCGGTGGTTAAACCATGTGAAATCCACAAGTCACCACTGATAAACCCAACATTGCTTTGTTTCTCAGCCGAACATGAATGGATTTACTAGTATTTGTTTAACATATGATCCATTACTATTCATCATTTAGTTGAATTTGCCCATTCTCTGGGTCAAACTTGGAGCGGTACTTTAATTCTTTGTGTTTTTTATTGCGATATTAAAGTATCTAAACGTATCCAACCAGCTAAGAGTCATTTGTTTGCAAGGTATCAAAGATTGGCCATGTTCCTTCCAGTTGGTTCCCCTTATTGATGGTTTCATTCATGTTCAATCACCATATGTTCATGGAGAACCCTCCATTTTTTCATGATTTTCTGCAGGTGAGCCACTGCCCAATGGCAACTTTCGAGCAGCTTGGGCCACGTTGTTTGCGTGCGGGCTGGAGGACAACATTAGGAGGATGGTTTAATAGAACGAAAACGACCCATTTATAGATGATTCATGATGATTCACCTAGTACTTCCTGTTCTGCCTTTATTTAGTAAGTATGAATGTAACAAAAATGAGATATTTTATCATCTTAACAACTATAAGTGTCGTGCTTTAAATAAGAGCAAATTGAGTTTAGTTACAAAAAATGATTACATATCAAACAAAGCAAATCATTTTTTCATGAATTGTCATGTCTTTGAAAGAGAAAAACCTTTTTGGATTTTTCATAACATCGCTTCTGACATGAAAATTTAAGTAAAAGATAGTAGTAATCGCGATTTTCCGCTATGTGAAATTACCGAAGGGTATTTTCTCTACATTAAAAATATGTTTGAACCACTATTATTTGCCCAATTATTGTTGGATGTTGGATCTGTGTTAAATCCCTGACCCATGCACCTAGCCCATTTGTTTTTAAATTTGTTGGGGGGTTGATGATTCTGAGCTAGACTCAGATACCCGGATTTTGACAGATTTGAATCAACTTGAATCTATGGATCTGGACATACCACGGGGGGGTAGCGGTTCCACATGTCCCACTCTACTGTTGAGGTAGCTGGGATGTGAATGTTTACTATGTCTAAATTGACAATGCCAACACAGGGAATCTACGTATCAATGAGTGCAAATGAAACTAGCAAAAAGGATGCACAGATGGTGAGCACTGCATTTGCTAATAGGTCAAAACTCAATATATATGCTTAGGCACTAAGGAAACAACATATAGAAAAATGTTTGAGGACATGTATAGGTTAATGCCCCAAAAAGGTGAAATCCTTTCTGGCCGGTAGAATCTGCTTAAACAATTATATATATATTATATTATATATATATATATATTATATTATATATATATATTATATATATTATATATATATATATTATATATATTATATATATTATATATATTATATATATATTATATATTATATATATATTATATATTATATATATTATATATATTATATATATACTATATATTATATATAATATATATATATATATTATATATTTATATATTATATATTATATATAATATATATATATATTATATATATATTATATATATAATATATATTATATTATATATATATATATTATATATTATATATATGTATTATATATTATATATATAGTGGGTAAATCGCTGTTCATTAACCATATTCGTTTGCTTCTTGAATCTTCCTTTCTACCATCCGGCATGAAAAAACGTGACTTGCTGGAAAATACCAAATTGATACCAATTTATAGAACATATTTCCATTGAAACGTCCATTTTTTGGGGGATATCCCAGCTAGCGATGTTTTGTTACCGGAGGAGGTTGACCTGTAAATAGTGAATCAACTGGTTCTTTCAAATCATTCTTTTGGCAATTGCTGCATAACCTGCTAAAGATGGTTAACCTCTTGTCCATGATTTTCGATAACTCCTGATCTCCGATGTCATGAAACATGGCAACGGAAAATCACCCATTGAGTTCCATGAACTTCCATTAGATATAAATCCTCCAAAAAAATCCTCTATTAGATTGGAAAATCCTCTATAAATGTCATCAAACATGAATTTCTTAGTTACAATTCCATGTATAGACATAGAGGATTTTCCACTGTCGCGTTTGATGACACCGGAGGGATCCAGAGGGTATTTCCATGTATTTCCCACAAACAAAATACCAATTTTTGTGGGTTAAAGGCACAATTTAATGAACATAAAATGATGGTATATGATGGTTAAGTGATGGTTAAACATGGTTAAGTGATGGTTAAACTTGGTTAAGTGATGGTTAAACTTGGTTAAGTGATGGTTAAACCCCCATTTCTAGTCGTTAAAACTCATGCCTGCAGGTCGGCGTCCACATCGCAGATGTGACCCACTTCGTCCACCCTGACACCGCCATCGACCGTGAGGCTGCAGAACGCTGCACCACGGTGCCACGGCGACCGCTGGGTTCGACAAAGGGAGGCAATATAACTCCATGAATAACCATCAGTTGGCAAATTTGGCAATAGGTGGTATTAATATGTATTAATCATCATTAACCATCATTAATGGTGATGGTGATGATGATGATGGTGATGATGATGATGATGATGATGAATCCCATGTTTTTTGTTCCCGTGCCCTATGAAAACATTGCTATAAACTAGGGTCCGACATTTTGAGAGGCACCCACATCATCTTGTTGGTTTTTTTTCCTCATTGTATCCCTATATACCACATGATGGTTGTTTTTTTTGGGTATTCCGATGGTTGATTGAATCCCTACTGTTGGTTGAATCCCTGGTTGAATAGCTACCAACCTCACAGGTAACCCTGAGAGGGGCGGAACCGGGAGAACGGGCGCGTTCAGCCAGATGATTAGGTTACCTCGCCATATTCCCTGGTTATATGGAACCAGTCGCCGAGCCCAGTTGCCTATGAGACAAACCCCCAGGAGCCCTTGGGATTTGGGGTCTTGGATGGCTCGGCATGGCTCATGCAGCCTAGCGTGCCTAGGTTTACCTGGTGGAGCGACGAACTGACATGCTTCCAGGCCGTGTTACGGGATGTGTCTCAGAGCCCAGCGGAAAGCAAAGCTCATAATGATTATGGGGGTTGTCTGAAGAGAGACTACCCCTAGATCCTAGCGTTTATCATCATGTTCCCTATCAGGCCTATAAGATGTCAATTTGGGCTGGTATACCATGTTTTTCGACATCCGCTTGTAGCTTGTATTCCATACCTCTATCCAGGCTACAGGAATATCACTTTGTCAACCATGGTGGGTCGGAGCTTGAGGAATAGGCATCTTTTTCCCACCATTTGCAAATGGGTGGGAAAAAAAAATCCTAAAATGCTTAAACCCAAAACCCAACTTCGCTCAAATCTGTAAACCTTTAACGCAGCCATTTTCATCTGGTTGGTGGTTTCAAACATTAATTTTACTTTTCCATTCAGTTATAGGAATACTATCATCTTCCCAACTGACGAACTCCATCATTTTTCAGAGGGGTAGGGCTCAACCACCAACCAGTCATCCCATTTTTCTGCACCAAGAGTTGAGTTGGCTCGGCAGGTCTGTTGACCACCGACATTTGTTCCCTCCGCGGCAAGGCAGGGGCGTTACAAGGCGATGAAAAACGTAGTAGCTGTGCAGCAGGCTAAAACCTCATAGTTCTGTAAACGGAATCAAGACTAGGTATCTCAACACTCAATCTCAACCCTATATAATTATCTATATACAATTAATCATAATTATGTATATATGCAAACTTTTCACATAAAATCAAACTATATATATAACAATATTGTCTTGTTGGTTATATCCCCATGCAGAATGGTTGGTTTCATACCGCCTTCTTCACTAGTTCCTGCAAATTCACCATTCTCGTAAACCCAAAGTGTAGATCCAAAGTGATTCCCAGTACATATTCCCATTCAATGTTCACCATTTAAAATTTATGCAATCATCATTTTCAGACACATATCGTACCGTCATTTTGAATCACTGCAATATGTATTGTGCAGTACATTAAATTCCATAGTTCACATCCATACTGTTGGTTGTTTCTGCTTAATTCACCATGTTTGTTGGTCAAACTTTGGTCAAACCATGAATTTTCCAAAAGGACAAGGCTTGACCTGGGAGGTTTACCTACCCCTCGAAAGTTTCATCGCAGATCTGGAAAGATCATGAGAGGAAGATCGACGAACATCGCCAATTTCGCCCTTGTTACCTTGTTGGGAGCAACCCTGTCAATGAATGTGAATGGTAAAATCCCCATTACATCTCATTATGTCCCCATGAAACACGAATTGAACGCCCATGATCAAGCCATTTGGTGATTCCCCTTATGCTTGGATGATACTTCCATATTTCAGCAATTAAAGACCATATTTCACATTATTTCGCCAGTGAAATCCCATATTTCACAAGTGAAATCCCATATTTCATCAGTTTTTTCACCCCTTTTTTTGTTTGTCTTCAGAGGTGGAACGCTTGACCTTCACCGTGCTCTGGGAAATGACGCCCGAAGCAGAGGTGGTGGACACGAGCTTCTGCAAGGTAAGCGCGAGTTGGGTGAGGGGATGGATCCGAACATATCTTCTGTATAAATAATATATATATATTATCCTCTGGTAATTTAACATAGCTATTGAAAATTGTGATTTATAGTGGATTTTCCCATTAAAATGGTGATTTTCCATAGTTATGTTAGTTTACCGGAGGGTATTATATATACAATGTGGGGCCCCCAAGATAGCCAAGTTGGTGCAAAAAACTCCAATAACTCACTATGGTTATGGTACGCAAATAACTATAGTTATGGGGGTTTATAAGCCAACAAACATTACTGGGGGGCCCCACATTGTATATATATATAAATATATATATATATTACCCTTTGGTAAATGAACATAGACCCTGAAAATAAGCCGTTTCTAGTGGAAACTCATTTTCCAACCCCGATGACTGCCAGGGTCTATGTTAATTTACTGGAGGGTAATGTTATATAGATTGATTCTCAGAAGATATTGGGATAAGTCAAAACCTATTATTAGCATATGACTGGAAGAGTAGACATACATTAACTATAGCTATGACTTAGGGTACCATCCGGGTGCTTGTTGCTTTTTGACTCATAGCCATATGTCAGATAAAAATAAATCAAATGTCGGTTAAACAACAAGTTGGTGGGGATCACTCGAAATAAAAGTCATTGGTCCGTTGTTTTTTTTGGGGGATGAACAGATGTCTGCGATGTCTTTGTTTTGCCAACAAAAAGATGTCTGAAATCTGAGATTTGCTGGAGCAAAATGCGATTGGATGGAACTGTTTCAGGGATTTAAGCAAAACAATATAGGTAATGGATGGTAATGGTCTTTAGGAAAAACTTAGACAAACTTCATAGTCTCTGGTGAACAATTACCTCAATCTTTGAATGTGATTTTCGTTGGGATGTGTGTGAATTGAGCAAGAACAGTGTGGGATTTTAGTATCAAACAATGGGTTTCAGTGAGTTTCAGCATCAAACATTGGCATTGATAAACTCACCATGTCGAAACCATCAAGAGTTACTACCCTCCGGTAATTTAACAAAGCTAGGGAACACAGCCGAACTAAATGCTTTAGCTACATGGTTATATGTTATTTTCCATGGCAAACTGTAGCAAATTACCCAAACTACCCGAAGGCTACAGCATTTATTTTTTTTCATTCAACCCCATCCAGATGATATGTTATAACATAAATTTATAAACAATCTACCTTCCGGGAATCAAACCTGGCAATGGATTTGTTTCTTCAATTGTAGTTAGTTAATGTTAGGATTTTCATGAATTTTCACCTCCCTTTATGGTTCTTTTTTCCCCTCGCCCAGGCCATCATCAAATCGCGGGAGGCCTTGTCCTACGGCGAGGCGCAGGCGAGGATCGATGATCCCAAGGCGCGGCCTCGGAGGTTTTTGGATGTTCCTGACACTTAAGGCTAAACTTGGAAAAAAGGAAAAAAAAAGCGGACAAACTTTTTTTGGGATGTCCTTGAAGTTTTAAAAAACCAAAACGGACTGAAGTTTGCATTTGGGGATGGAAGCGAGGGGTTTTCTGTCAGATTTCCCTTCAATTTGTGCGTTTTAGAACCATGGGATAGAACCAGGAATCATGGGGGATTTCAGTGATATGGGGCCCCCTGGGGGATGGCGGGAATGAGAACTGGGAACACCTGGGAACCTAACAAATCAAAACTTATGGTTCTTGATGATCCAGGATTGAATTGCATGCATATTATCACGATATCAACATATACTGTATTAAATATAGTATATTTAACTTGTTATACAATACAATGGATATATATATATAATTTATTATGAATGAGAATAGAATGGTTGGTGATGTTAACCCCAGATTGTTCTTCAACCCTAGGCTGTTGATCATTGGAGAGGTACCATTTAAGTAGCAAATTATCACTGTTTGGGGGGAACCACCCTAATTGAGGCTATTTTATTTGTATGTATATATATGAAATCTGGGTTTGGCATTCTTCTGCTTGCCTATATGTATCATCGTCATCATAAACTACCAACTCTAGGTTTTTTTGTTCGGAGACTTCCCAGCTGCGACCTGCCAGAATGATCTCATGCACCTCTCCCCCAATCACATTAGACATGAAACCAATGGATGTGCTTGAAGATGGCATATACCCCCATCATTTTCTGTCGGGAAAATGTTGATTATCTCATGAATTTAAGGATGCCTACTGTTCAGAGAAACCCAGTGGCGAGATCGCCCAACTTCTCCACAGGACAACTCCGAAATCACCACATGTCTGAGGAGCAAGGGCTGAGTACCACCAACCAACTGGCACTTTGTGTGTAGGGCATAGATCAGACAAAGAGTTTGGCAATGCGCCATAAATATCCATGATTTGGTTCTCTAACGTCTCCATGTTTTGTTGGATGAACATTGAACTGTTGGTAGTGTCCTCGGATCTTATGTATACCTTCCGGCAATCAAACATGGCATGTTCTACTGCCAGCTTTGACGATGGGAGGATACAACGAGGGAAATCCCCATGGTCAAATAATGGTCAAATATGTTTCATGGTTTAGTCAGTTTACATAATCCCTACCTTTGTTGCGACCGTAAGACATGACCCATATGCTTAACGTATGGAAACGCTATGGAATATTGAGCAACATCACCTTATTGTAGGTGACGTATTATTCGGGTGTCAAAACCAACATGCCTCAATATGTTTATTGGTGTACATTCCAGTTCAAACATGGTTAAAACCCTGTTGTCGTTGCTTAAATCCAAAACTTTCAGGGTAAAGTCACCACTTTCCATTTTTGCTGATTAAATGATGTTAAACTGTCAAATCCTGATGATTTCTTGGTGAAATCCCAGCGCGTTGCAGGAATCTGCTGAAGTTGACGCGGCAGATCCGCGCGCGGCGCGTGGACAACGGCGCCCTGGAGCTGGCTTCGCAGGAGGCGAGCTGTCTCCCTGGAGCCTCCGAGTAGTTACAATGTGAGGCCACCCAGTTATGTTTGTTGGTTTATAAAGGAGGGCTAATTATTTTAGGTTTTTTTTTTGATCAGGTTTAGGAATCATTTTTGGATTCCTGCTTCTCTGCTTTTCCTGCTTTTCCTGCTTCTCTGCTTTCCTGCTTTTCCTTCTTTTCCTGCTTTTCCTGCTTTTCCTGCTTCTCTGCTTTTCTGCTTTTTTGCTTTTCTGCTTCTCCTGCTTCTCGCCTTTTCTGCTTTTTTGCTTTTCTGCTTCTCCTGCTTCTCTGCTTCTCTGCTTTTCTGCTTTTTTGCTTTTCTGTTTTTCCTGTTTCTTTGCTTCTCTGCTTTTCCTGCTTTTCCTGCTTCTCTGCTTTTCTGCTTTTCCTGCTTCTTTGCCTTTCTGCTGTTTTGCTTTTGTGCGTTTCCTGTTTCTTTGCTTCTCTGCTTTTTTGCTTCTCTGCTTTTTTTTTTTGCTTTGCCTGCTTTAAATACTTGATTTTCATGTAAGATGCATTTTGCACAGTATTTACATCCCTGAGTATCACATGACCAACCTTCTCTTGAAAACTAGCAACGTAACATGTGAGAAGAGGTGCTTGCATTCTGCTTTGGGGGGAGGCGCTGCGCCCTTGTTTTTGTTTCGACCTAATACCTACATAGGTACATGCATGAGTATTGAGCACATTTATATGCGCCCTTCAAGGCTCAAGAAAGAGGTATATAGAGTAACCCTGTAGACAAGCACTGACCGGCAACAGGCTGAGAGTAAAAGAGTGCTGTCATTGGGGAAGACGCCTTAGCTGATCTTGAAGTAGACGCTAGGGCCCCTCTTCAAGTGGTAGCGGAGCTGTGATCCCTCATTGAGGGTGAGCTCCAGGTAGAGCCCAAGAAATGGCAAGCCATGGCTATGATGATGATGACTTCGACATTGTCGATGCAAATGAATGGAACCAATATGACTCTTATGCAATGAGAAGAGCACCCCAGCATACACAGATTCATATGACGCAACAGATGACCACAAAGGTTGCTCCAGCCTATGATGGGCGAACCAGCTTCTTTGCTTTTGAGGATGCAATTGATGACTGGTGTGACATTACGGAGTTAGAACCAGAGAAACGTGGTCCAGCATTGCGCAACAGACTGGAAGGAGATGCTCAACAATACAAGAGGCTATTGGATAGAGAATTACTCAGGGATCCCTATGAAGGAGTGGCTTATTTCAAAAGATTTCTACGACCTCATTTCATCAAAGGTGCCCAGAACGTGTTCTTATACCGTTTCATGCAGTCCATGAAGTTCAACAGAGGAACAATGGATCTTCAGAAGTGGATGACTAGATTTCAACTCACTGGCAATAGACTTATTGAGTCTTGGATGGATTTACTTCCAGAAGTAACAGTGACTAGTCCTGAAGCAATTCTGTTTGTTCAACAACGACGTCAAGAACATGAACGAGATCAACAAGAGAGAGCTGAAGTAGCAGCAGCCTCAGGAACACCCCATGTAGCTGTTCCTTGGACAGATGAACTGGCACTAGCGGCATTCAGACAATTTCAGGAAAATCGTAGAGAAGCACAGCGACAAGCATTCCCACTGGGTGAAAATTTGCTAGCATTGATTTTTGTAAGTCTAGCTGACCTGAGTCAAGATCAGAGAAACACACTCACAAGTATCATGACACATCGTGGACGAACCCTCGATCGATACAACATTCAAGAACTACGTGACCTGTTTTTGGAAATGTTTTGCACTACCAAAACAGCAGTTGACAATCCATTGATGCAACCCTCTGGCATGGCACAGAGAAGATCTTTCCTCGTACTGGATGAAGGTGAATTAGAAGGAACCGACGGCTATTGGGCCGAAGATGAAGAAGACGGCGCAGAAGGATTCCTGGATGCTTTAGAAGATGTTTTCTGGGTTTATGATGACGCCAACTTCACATGGTATCAGAGAAGGTTCCAAGGCAAATACATCAGACGAGGCAAAGGTAAAGGAAAAAGAAAAGGAAAAGGAAAAGGCAGAGGAGGACGAAGGTTCTTCAGATCAAGAAAAGGAAAAGGCCGAGGAAAAGGAAGAAGGAAAGGCCGTGCTCACATGGTGAGTGAAGAAGATTATGAAGAAGATTGGCAAGAAGATGAATGGAATGAAAACTATGACGGCTATTGGGCCGATGATCAAACCTGGAATGAAGGCTATTGGGCCTATGATGATCTGTACTACATGGATGAGTATGGATACTTCCAGAAGAAAGGAAAAGGAAAAGGAAAAGGAAAGAAAGGCAAGAAAGGCAAGGATGATGATGGAAAAGGAGGAAAGCCAGGAGATGGAAAAGGCAAGTCGAACTATGTTCAACCTCAGACCACATCAGCTCCTGCCATACAGAATCAACCAACTCAACAAGCTCATTATTCTTCTGCAGCTTCAAGTTCTGGTCATGGTTTCTTTTCATTTGGAACAACTGAACCAGCACGTGTTGATGTTGCAGAGACAGAGCCAGCACGTGTTGATGTTTTGACATCCACGTATGCAGCACAAGATGAACAACGACGTACTCGTCGTGGAGGACAGAACCAACGTGATGCAAGAGCACATCAAAACAGGAGAGAAATGAAGAGATTCCCTGTTCTGGTTGGAGAAGTTGGTGCACTACGACAAGGTGTACAACAACGTCCAGCTGTAGTGCCCAGGCAAGTTGGTCTTCAAGAAGGTGAGGCTTCATGGAAGCCATTGGCAGAAGGCACATCATTGTTTTCACATGGATGCTCTACAGAGATAGAGGAACCATCACAGCAGAGTGCTTTTTCATTTCATACTGTACAAACTGATCTGGCATGTGAGAATGGACTAGCTTTTCACACAGAGAATTCTGCACCACCAACTGTGTGTATTCTGGATCTTGGATGCACAAGAGCTATGGGCTCTCGACGAGCAGTTGAAGCATTTTGCAGATATGTTGACTCACATCCCAACAGTGGACTCTGGTATGAAATTCAGCCAACAAGTTCAAGATTCTTCTTTGCAAACTCACAACAATCAAAATGTACTGAGAAGCTCGTGATATTCATGTATGATCATGGATGGAACACTCAGTTTACAGAATTCGACATTGTCGAAGAAGGTGATGTCCCATTGTTGATGTCACTTCCACAGATGAGAAACCTTGGATTTCAATTTGAACTTACTCCAGAGAAGGCTTATTTGTCCTGTGCACGTATTGGCATGAGAAAAATGGTTTTGAGGACAGCCATTAGTACTCATCTCATTCTCGACCTACAAGATGTAGCATGGTACATGAGCCAAGTTCATTTCAAGACTCCACAAGTCAAAAGTTTCTATTCACAACACGATCACTTTGAGTACAGCCAGATTGCTGTCAAACAAGATGATCATGAAGGAGAAGCTTTGGTGACTGGTGACTACTGGCAGGTTGATCCACTACGTCGTGAACTCATCAGGCACCACAAGGACAAGAGAATGAACTTACATGAGATGACTCGATCAGAGAAAACTCCAATTCCAAAAGATCAACTTCTTGATGAGAGAGAAACCCACATGGAATTCCAGAAGAGCAAGAAGAAGGTTCTTCACAAGGACAACTGGCGCACTGAGAAGAAGAGGTTTTCTGAACAGAGTGAAGAGTTCTGGAAGGGCAAGACCATCTACAAGATCAAGGAGGACTACGTGATCCCAGATGACATTGTCAGAAGTGACATTGATCGTGCAAAGCCCTTTCGTGGAAACATTGATGATCTTTTTCACCCTGAGTCAGCCTCTTCAGTGCCATCAGGTGTACAGAAGAAGAAGCCAAGCTCCTTAAAGAAGGAGGAAGGCAAACCGATTTCAAATGGACCAGGCTCGAAAAAGATTGAGGTAGGTCCACCTGCAGCCAAAAGACACGTAGGTAAGCAGAAACCTCAGGTTGTCGATGACTCTCAATCAGGTTCATCAAGAAAGAAGGTTGTTGTCTCCTATCCCAAGCTTGATGAAGAAGATGAGCTTGATAAGGTAGCTAGGGAGTTAGGTTTGGACAAAATTGATTCAGATGAACCTCAAGTCATTGAACCAAAACATTCTGCACCTGCGCGCAACCGTGGTAAGCAAGATTCAGAAAGTCAAGTTGAGAAACTAGGTAGTGATGCTCTTGAGCCTAGGCGAGTTTCGATCCCACTGCCTGGTAGTGAAGTGCAAGCCATGACACCAGCATACAGAAAGATGCTCAGGAAACTGGAGGATAGTGTGGAACTTTACAAACTTCACATTAAACACTATCACATGTCTCCTACTCAATTCAGACGAAGGACTTCCATGTTAGGACTTCCTGACTCTGTCTATCAGAAGTATGAGGAGATGTACAACAAGTGTCGTGTGTGTAGTACTTCCATTGCACCACCGCCGCGAGCCAGAATTTCAGGCATACGATCCACCAACTTTGGAGATGTTATCTTTGTTGATCATGCTGAAATTCAGTTGAGGAAGAACAAGTACATGGTGTTGCTTGTTCTTGATGGTGCAACCAACTTACTTTGGGCTACGGCACAAAACTCACTGAACAACAAGGAGACCATTCAGGCTCTAAGGTTGTGGAGTGATGAACACAATTGTATGCCTAAAGCCATCGTAGGTGATGAAGCTTTCTTTCAAGAAGACTTTCTGACTTATTACCGAACTCATGGTATCAAGGAATGTCCCTGTGGTTCAAGAACCCCATGGCCTAACAGAGCTGAATCAGCTGTCAGACTTTTCAAACGACAATGGCAAATCATGTCCAAGAACCTTGAAGATGATAGGTTCAAAGGAATCACCATCAGAGAAGCTGTGAAGCGTACTGTTTGGGCCAGAAACACTCAACTCACTGTTAGTGGTTATTCTCCTTTGGAAATTGCCACTGGTAGAAGACCACCAGATCTTCTGGATATTGAGACTTCTGATCCTGCTCAACTTAGTGTTGATCCCTTTACCTGAAGACAGAACACAACTCG